CCGGAGAACCTGTTGTTGTTGACGAATATCGCGTCGAATGCCCTCTCGAAGAGTTCGTCCGGGAGAGTGCCCTCGAACTCGTTGAACCGGATGTCCAGGTATTTCAGGCTGGGCATCCGGAGGAGGGGGCCGGGGATATTCCCGGCGAACCGGTTGTTGCTGAGGTCCAGCTCGAAGAGGAGCTTCAGATCCACAAAACTCCACGGGATTGTGCCGCAGAACCGGTTGGAATTGATGTGGAACAGGGAGATGTCGTAGAGGAGGCCGAGCTCGTGGGGCAGAGTCCCGGCGAGGTCGCCGTGGTTGATGTCGATCCCGGAAACAGTGGTCTCCGACGGATCGTCCGGCGCCTGCCAGCAGAACACGCCGGTGTAGTGGCAGACGCCGGATCCGACCCAGTTTCCTGTTATGTTGAGCGGGTCAGATATTATGGCCTCCTTCCAGGCTTGCAATGCGATGTAGGCATTTTCCAACCTCCGGTTGCCGAAGCTTAGGCTCGGGTCCACGGCGAGAGCGTCCCCGTTGTAGGACAACGGCCGTCTCTGATTCCCGGCGCCGGCGACGGCATTAGAGTAATCGCTGCTCGATGTGGGAACACAGAATAGTAGAAATAATATGGAGAAGAGGATCATGCTACAACTGTTCATCTCGTTCATACTAATGACCATTAATATAATAATGAAATCCTAATTCTTGTTTTCTTTTTGGTGCAAAGGATTTGGGTACTTTGTTATGGAAGAAGAGAAACAGCTAGTGTTCAAGTTTTCATACATACACAAGGATTTGTGTATTCTGTTATGGAAGAAGAAAGTTCTTGTTGATTTCTTCTTCTTTTTTTTTGAGAATTGTGATTTAGTTGAGAATTGTGATGAAAACCAGCCTCTTAACCCGTTCTTCACATAATATGCGGCGACTTTACCTGGCACTCTCACTCTATTAACAGAGTTTGAAAATATCGACTTTGGACTGGTACAAAAACAGTACAATAATGAATAGAACAAAGTTAGTTTCGCAGTAACATTTTGTGTTGGTGTAATGCTAATTTTTGTTAAATTATCAACACTTTGTGTTTGTGTAAATTTTTATTAACGAACCAACACTTTGTGTCAGTGTAAATTATTAAAATGCTGGTGTATAACTTTGGTGTAAGTTTGAGGTATAAATTTTTGTGTGAGTGTAGCATGATTCTAATGAATAATGTTCCACTATGTAAGTTTTCTAGAAATATTAATATAGAGTAAATTCTACACAAGTTTTTATATGAGAGAAACACAAAAATAGGACTAAAACATTGAAATTATATCAAATTAGGACTTCCATATTTTTATTCTGAAAATAGAACTTACATTACTAAACATGATCATATACATTACCAAAAAAAGTATAGTAATGTGCACATGTACACTACCACATTACCACAATACAAAGTCACATTACCACAGTGCAAAGTCATATTTCGAAAAAAAACGTGAAAGTCCTATTTTGGTACTTTTCTCTATGTTTTAGTCCTATTTAGGGTAATTTCTGTTTTTATATAAATTAAGTTGAAAATATATTTACTCAAATATTGTAATTCGAAATTAAAATATTAATGCAAAATGATATAAGTATATGGATAAGATTTATCGAAACGCTTTAAAAATGATGAGTTTGCCGGACTAAGACTCTATATAGCATTTCATCATCGCTCACTCCAAATTAGTAGCCACATCAGCACTGAGTGTACTTATCATCTCACTCGCTTCATACGTATAGTACTCACCACCACTACAATGATTGCACTTTTATTTTTTCTATAAATAATTACCTATTTCTATCATTTATAAAATAATACGGAGTAATACAAATAGTGAAAAAATTTATTTATTTATGGCAGAGTATTGTTTTATTTTCGTTCTTATTTTTTCCGCTATTAATTTTTTTCATTATTAATTTTTTCCTTTTTTATATTATATTCTCTTTGTCCTAGAACCATCTTCTCATTTGTGTTTACGAAGTTTGACCAACTTTATTTTCAATTCAATTTATTTGATTGTAGGTGTAAAATTAAAAAATAAAATTTATATATATATTTAAAAACTACATCAAAAGTTCTAAGACAGAGGGAGTAATAACAAATTAATGGACTCAAAAACAAAGGACATATTGATTAAAAATGCATATATTACTGTTGGGGATTAAACACACAACACACATAAATGATCTGCGAGAATCAAGGGGGAACGGAACACAAACGACACACACGAATTTAACGTGATTTGGTTTTTCTAATCTACAACTGCAAGAGGAGAATTTTATTCACTTGTTCTGTCTCAAGAATTACAAGTACAAGATGCGTATATATAGGAGAAACTTAGGGCTACGAAACTTGTTCCTCAAGAAACAAGAAACAAACGGGATAAAAATGACCGGGTCAATCCAAATCAAGCCCAAAAATATTTGGCCTCCAAACACCCAACAATTACATGAATAAAATAAAATGCGAACCATTTTTTACTCTTAAATCGACTAAAATTGGTGAATACGAGGGTTAAAAGATCACTTAGATAAAAACATTTTTTCCCAATTTGACATCGTATGACATTAATCAGAAGAATGAAACTATTCGTACACCAAAAATTGTACATGAAGGCATGCACCAACATTTTTTGTTAATGTGATACTAGTGTGATGATTTAAATAATATAAAATACTCCCTCCGTCCCACTCTCTTTGTACACTTACCTTTGTACACACTATCCAATGCACTTCTTTAATCCATTTTATCTTGTAATTTGTATATTAAAAAATTATAGAAATTATATATTAATAATCTATATGTTAAGACAAATCAAACAAGATCACACATGACTATATTTAGGCTTACACATTGAGAGAATTTGATGAGTCAAAGTGCTTAGATGAACAGTTCCAAAAGTCAAAAGTGGACAAAGAGAGTGAGACGGAGGTAGTATTAGTACAAATTTTTGACAAATTTTGTGAAATTGCACTAATATTTTTTAAAATAAGTGTTTGTGACTCTAGCATTTCTCTATTAGATTGAGAATGCTATAATCACAAACACTTTGATTGAAAAATATACAAACTTGTCATTTGTTTATTTTTTAGTCATTTTATTCACTTGTTAAGGTGCACAAATGACAAGGCAAATTCCATGGTGGACTAGGTAATAAGTGCTCCCTCCGTCCCATTTTATAATGCCTGTTTCGGTTTACGATGTTTGATTGAAATTATTTTCAAATCATTTTATATGACAAATGATATAGAGTTAAAAAAAATAAAAATTACATAGTAAAATACTACATCAAAAGATCTACAAAACTAGTAGTGATAATAATACTTTATTTTATCAAATTGCTAACGGAAATAGTGAAAAAAAGTGAATGAAGTTTGACTATGTGAATAATGAAGAGACATTATAATTTAGGACGGAAGGAGTATTTCCTTATTACTTCATACGTTTCTTTTTTTAATTAAAAAAGTAAAAAACAAGTTGGTCATAGACCAAACAAAACAAATGTGGTTCACTGGTTCTCGTGTTTGGTTTTTTATTTTATACTCCCTTCGCCCCAAAATATTTGCCACACTTATTTTTTAGTAGGGCCAAATAACTCCGGTGCCCCCTGTAGTTTGAAAAATTGGCACCAATACCCCCTCTATTTTCAAAACTTATTTCTAAAGTCCCCGTAGTTTCAAAATACTGCACCCGTGCCCCTCTGATCATTTTCCGGCCATTTTCTGGCGAAGAGGGGGCATTTGCGCATAATTTTTAAAGCATAGGGGGTATTCGTTTTTATTTTTCGTTTATTATTTGTATTTTTCTTTTTTTAAATATTTTCTATCTCTTTTTCCTTTTCCTAGTTTTTTTTGTAATTTATTTTTAATTTTTTTATAATTTTTTAAAATTTTAAATTTTTTTGTTTTTGAAATAAAAATAAAAATAAAAAAATTAACATACATTGAATTTATTTGAAATTAAACATTTTTCACTTTTTGTTACATACTTATTTGGAAAGTTCAAAAAGAAAAACCTAGAATAAAAAAATAAAAATAGGAAAAAATAAAATGAAAAATAAAAATACATAAAAAAAGTCTGATACAAAAAATGGACAAGCCTAAAAAACTCCTTAGAATTAAGATGTTCGAAAAGATATTCATTTTTATTTTTCCATTATTTTGTTTCTTATTTTATTCGTCATTTTTTTTTGAAATTCTCCAAAAAAAAGTTTACTTTTTTCAGAAAAACAAAAATTGTTGATTTGAGAAGTACATATACATTATATGTTAATTTTTTCAAACAAAAATAACTTTAACTTTTATGAGCATTATAAAAATAATTTAAAAAAACCTTTATTTATAAAATTAACAAATAAAGGAAAAATTGAAAAAAACAAAAAAATAAGAGAGAAATAAATATCGGCACCGATACCCCCTGTGGTTTAGTAAATATGCAGCAATGCCCCCCTTCTTCGCTGGAAAAATGGCAACTAATTGATCAGAGGGGGCACGAGTGCAGCATTTTGAAACCACAAGGACTTTAGAAATAAGTTTTGAAAACAGTGGAGGTTTTGGTGCCTATTTTGCAAACCACGGGGGGTACTGGCGCTATTTGGTCTTTTTAGCAGTCGCGAGAACTTTTATTTATTTCTACGTTTTCATTAGTTGTTTGATAAAATAAAATATTCTTGACACTTTTTATTTTGAAGAGCTTTTCATGTAATTTTTTATATGTAAATTTTATTTTTTATTTCTATACGAATATGTAAATAAAATAAATTTTACTCCCTCCGTCCTAAAATTAACTTCCCATTTGACTTTTCACGGTCTCCAATGCGACACTTTGACCATCAATATCTCAATTTTTATATAAATATATTTTATAAAAATTATATATTTCAAAACTATATTCCAAAATGAATCTATTCCTAATAAATTTATATGAAAATTCAATGTATTTTTTCATTAATCTATAGTCAAAGTTTAAAAAGCTTGACTGCAAAAGTCAAACCGGAAAATTAATTTTAGGACGGAGGGAGTATAAAAGAGTACTTGACAGTCAAAAAGGGAGTAGTATTTTGCCTTGGCAATACAAAAAATATATAGGGAATGAGGGAGTACCTGGCCGTCAAAATCCTATCCGTCACCCTCTTTGATTAGGTTCTCTGCGCTTGAAAATCAAAGTACAGCAACGTACGTGATGCTCATGCTCTAACTTGCTCTTCACTATAAATATAAATTCATTCCCAAATCTCACTATTTTATAAACTCTGCCGTCTACTTCTTCTTCGGCCGTCTACTCTTCGGCCTTCTTCTTCATCCGACCTTCTTCTTCTTGGGCCGTCTTCTTCGTCTCTCCTTCATCCTCTCCTCTGGTCGTCTTCCTCTCCTTTTGCAGGTTTTTTCTATACTCATCTCTATCATATTTTCGGGACTTGCGGCAATTGCGGTCAGAGCTAGGGATTAGGCGTGGCTAAGAGAAATGGCGGAAGCTTTTAAACGGTTACCGGGATTCATTAGACATGAAGCGCAGTTCCTCGGAATCGCCACCGTGTAGCTCTATTGGACCTCCTTCGTCCAGATTGAAATACAACCCACCAGGTATTTTCAAGTTCTTACTATGAAGGTTCGAGATCAGTTTATCAACCCGTGAACTTGAAAAATTCTACTTGCTTGACCTAAATTCTTTTTGATGAATTGGAACGAATCTAGGATAGTTTTGTTTACAAATCTAAATTGGCAGCCTTTGTAGTATGGTTTTGATCTACAATTTTCATTGTTTGATGTAAAATCTTTGGACCTTTTTCTTATGATTTTGATATTTTTTTTAAATATAAATTATTTTTATTTTATTATATTATTTTTAATTTTAATTATTGATTTCATAAACAATTTTTTAATGACTAATTACAATAGTTCATGTTACAACAATGTATAAATTTATAAAATAATTCATATTTATGTATAAATAATCTATATATTATAAACAATCAGACAAAATCCTATAAAATCCTGTTGATAAAACATATTAAAATCTATCAAAATCTGCATGGACTTAAAAATAATCTATAGATTTTGCATAATCTAGAGACTTTAAACAATCTATCGAAATCCTTCATAATCCTGATTGAATACACCCCCTAATTTTGATTTTGTGTAATTGCATTGAAAAAAGCTTGGTTCCAATGGCATTTCCAGTTTCCGTGAACTAACGTTGGCCAGTTGAATTCGCGCTTTAAAAGGTATGAACCATGAGTCCTTATTGTCTTCTACTTTTCAACCCATTTCATAGCTTCTTTAGTTCTTTGTTCCCACTATTTTTCTTTAGCTTCTGTATACATACATATATAGTTCTCTCCCTTTGTGGTGGCAGGCTTTAGAGCGAGGTTTGGGATATGGAGGCTTCCATTAATGCCGTGGAGCATCTTCTGCAATATAGATTCAAGGACAAGAGGCTTCTGGAAGAAGCTCTGACTCACCCTTCCTATGCTGATTCGCCCTCTTATCAGCGTCTGGAGTTCCTGGGCGACATGGCTCTAGGAATGGTTGTCTCAAATTTCATCTTCTTAACCTATCCAAGCCTTGACCCCGGCCAACTCTCCCTTCTGCGCTCCGCCAACATCAGCACCGAGAAGCTCGCTCGAGTAGCAGTTGACAATGGCCTCTTTAGGCATTTCCGACACAGTTCTTCTGCTATTGATGAAAAGGTGTGGCCATTGTTTAGCAGACTGTTTGAATTCAACAGTGATTCAGATTGGATTTGATTTACATTTGAAAGAATTTGGTCAGTTGGTGTGAAATAATTGATTTTATTAATTGATATTTGACTGAATTCGGGTTATATATAGGTCACGGAGTTTGTGATGACGGTCCGAGAAGAGGACGAGGCCCAGTTTTATGGTGGCGCTATCAAAGCTCCCAAAGTTCTGGCCGACATTGTGGAGTCCATAGCTGGAGCCGTGTACGTGGATAGTCGGTTCAATTTGGAGAATCTTTGGCTGGTGTGTATATATCTTTTTTTCATTCTATGTTCCTAGTTGTGGTTTTCTTGATTGTTAGGCAGTACAGTTTCTGCTAGTTGCTGCATGTTGGACAGAATTTTGCATTGCTAGTCTAATATTTGCATATATGTATCCTCAAGTGGTGTATTTCGCCGTTTATAATGCAAACAATGAAAACAGAGTTTCGCTGTATGTGTTGTCTTTTAAGAGATTATTTTCATCATAAAAGCAGTGATAATTTTAAAAACATTGGTTTTAATGTTTAAAAATAGTGTAGCTAATCGAAGCCTGTTCTTTCTCGCATATTTGCAAACAGTTTTGAATATCATCTTGGCATCATCATTTGGATAATTTGCTTGAAGTTCAAGTCTGGTTCTAATTTTTATAGTAGTAAAGAACAAAATTGTGTGATATGCTTTCCTTATAGTATATTGCTAATATATCATGTTTTGGATACATATGTCCATGAAGTTGATTGATTTGACTAGTCTTGTTTCTTAACCTTAACATGAGTAGGAAAAGGCAAATTGTTTCTGTATTTTTGTATGAATTGCATATGATATCTATTTCATTATGGTGCTAGGTCTTTAGAGGCTTACTTGAGCCTATTATCACCCTTGATGTGCTGCAAAACCAACCACAACCCGTGACAATGTTATTTGAATATTGTCAAAAAGTTGGAAAAAAAGTTGATATAAAGCATAGGAAGAATAAAGAGACAAACATTGCAAGCATATATATTGATGGAAATCACCTAGTCTCATCTTCATCCGAACAAAAGGAAAATGCAAGGCTTCATGCTGCAAAGGCTGCAATAAAAAAGCTGGCTTATGAAGTCGTTGACAAATGCAGCTTTGAGTTTGATGATAAGGGCAATGAAGGGGCGAAGAGGAAGCTCCACGAGCTATGTGCGAAAAAGAAATGGACCAAACCTGTTTATAGGTACAAACTAAATATTCTTTTTCAAAATCTTCTGTCTTGCCACCAAATTTCTTAGATGTGAATAAGTTTTACTTTTGCATAAAACTGAGTAACATACTCGTCCTGCACTGAGATTCTGTTGTTACTAAAGGAATCTAGGAAATTTTTCTTCAATGTCTTGTCTTGGTTCAAACCATTTTTTTTGTTTAAATCTTCCAAGGGGAAAAGTTGGATTCACAGTGAAGGTTCAGACCATAATTTTAGGATACATTTCCTTGACTTCATTTTTTCAAATTTGTTTAGTTACCTGACTTTGATGTTTCCTTAGGATGCAAGTCTTGTATGTTTTTGTCATTTCTATTCTTATTTTGAATTTTTAAGTACGTGTATTTTTTCGTCTAATAACGACCTATTGCTATTTCCTTATCTTTAGCCTAATGTTTGCAGTTTAGAGAGCGAGATCGGCCCGTCGCACAAGAAAAAGTTTGTCTGCTCAGTCGAAATAGGGAGCACGGACGCTACATTTTTCAGGGTTGGTGGGAAGAGGTCTCGCGTACTCAGTGCACTCGGAGACAAAAAGTTGCGCATTAGAGATGCAGAGAACTCGGCTGCCTATGCCATGCTTTGTAGTCTGAAAGATGAGAATGCCATTTGATTCTTCTTCTAGCTAGCTTTTATGCCTGCCTGTGATGGCTATCTTCACATGTGAATGCCCATTGTAATTTCCTACTCCAATTACATTTGTACCTTTATTTATATGAATAGATAAGTTCTCACCTTATCCTCACTATGAGAATGCCTATATATTCTTTCAATTTAAACATTCGTGTTTAGGAGGCCTACACAAAGCTCACCCTCTTTTAACTCACATTCTATGAAAATCCTCTTTACCAAACCAAACCCATTAAAACCCTCTCTATTTCTATTCCAAAGAAAAGAGAAGTTTTTTGAGAACTTTGACAAAAAAAAAAAAAGGCAGTGTGAGTAAAAAAAAAGCCCTTGCAACTTGCAATCGCCAAAATAAAAAGAATTAAGAAGACCCAACACTTGATGGTTAATACATTCAGTCTAACAAAATACTCTACAACATAAGTTCATTTTTGCTAAGAAGTCTTACCAGACTTTATATCTTGAGGAGGGTTGAAGGATACATGTCCAATCTCAACTCCTCATCTCTTGCCCATGCCTTCTAGGACAAACATGACCTAGAAATCATAGTTTGTTTTTTTTTTATTTTACAAAGTATTCAGCAAGTCGTATCTTGCTCGACCAAGGAAAAAAAATTCATTATTATATTGAGCATGGTAAGACCACATGCCTGCCATATATTCTCATTTCTGCGAGTCTGCGACGTTAGCATTTGTTTATTTGCTCTTTCATGTAGAATGTGTTACGATTAGTACATTTACCAAAAGTGAAAGAAATATGTTTATGAGTTTCAAAATCAAGACTTCTATTTACGAGGTAAATGATAGAATGTTCTAATTTCTACGCAAATATTCACAAATATGCTCGAGTGTAAACAGTTAACAAACAATCAATTCACACAAGAGGAAAGAGTTAAAAAAACTCAATATTTTTGTCAAACTTCTTTTCATTCCAATTTTGGTAAATGTTCAAGAAGACGGGTAAGTGTTAACAAACTCTCGATTCATTCAAGAAAAAGGAGTCAAACAAACTCAATATTTTGTTAAACTTCTTTTCATGAGTAAGAAATGGCCGAAAATATAATCGAAAGAAATATGTTCATAAATTTATGTAGATAAAATAAATTTATCCAATATGTGGAGCTCATTATTAAAAAAAGAGACCATGAGAAACAAACTAAAGTGATGTAGGAATGTTAAAAGAAAGTAATGTCATATTAAACAAAAATATAAAACAAATACAAATATAATTATAATAGTACCAGCTAAAATCAATTTAGACCTTAATGAAAAGAAAATATTATGTAAGCAGAGAACATCGTCTCTTGTTCTCCAAGGCCTTGTTTGGCATCAGTGTTGGAGATTAACATTAATTTTTAAAAAGAAGAATTAATTTATTTATTTTCTCTAATTATAAGACTGTCTGAGTACACTGTTTAGCGTTTCAATTGAAATTTATCTCTATTGAAAAGTCTAATTTCCAATGGCTTTGCAGATTAGAGCATCACTACTAGTTACCCCTTATTCCCCTCCACATTATCATTTTTTAATGTCACATCATTTTCCTCTTCAACTTTTCCCACTCCACTCTAATCATTTTAGTTCAAAATATTTATTTTATTTTTAACCAATATTTTCTCTCTCAAATACATGGGTGAATTCCCTATTTGTGTAAAAACCGTGCAACCCATTCCCCCTCCCACCGAAATGGAGATATTCGGTGGTATTTATAAGATGTAGAGTGGGAGTGAGAATGAGTAGTTAGGTGGGAGGGGAAATGAATAGTTAGGTGGGAGTGAGAATGAGTGGTTAGGTGGGAGGGGGAATACATGGTTAGGTGGGAGTGAGAATGCGTGGTTAGGTGGGAGAGGGAATGAGTGGTTAGATGGGAGGCGGAATGCATAATGGAAATAAAAAATTTATCAATTCAAAACATTACAACACATTATCCAAATTAAACAAATAGTGACATATCCGAGTATTATTTTTATCAAACGACCAATGAAAATGCATACGCAAATAAAAATTATTGATAATCTGAAATAGTAAAGAGACTAATTATTTTGGAAACACATTAGGAAGAGAATATTGCTTATTCTTAAAGAGAATATTGCTTATTCTTTAAGAATAAGCATTCACAACTTAAAGAGAATATTGCTTATTCTTAAACATGAATATATGTGCGATTATAAATTTATATGAGTACTTCTTTAGTTCCATATTAATGCAAAACTACTGAATTTTGCATTATTAAACTAGTCTCCTCTCTATTAATGCAAAAATTCACTTACTCCGTCGGTTTTTTTATTATGGCTGTTGAATCCGCGGATAATGGGTGGATGGTTGGGGGGTGCGGAAGTTGATTTGTATTAACATTTCTATTTTGATAAATTTTTTTTGATATGGCTCTTTTTGGTGGTCATAGTTCCACAATATTCATGGATATCCTCAGTATTTAGTCTACAAATTTATGCTATGATAGGGACGGACTTCACAACATTTGGTTGAGAGAGACGGAGTAGGCTACTCCGTCCGGAATAAAGGTTCCGAATTTAAATCTGACACGGAGTATGCTAATCCGTTTGAGTAAATAATTCAAATGGAAACGAAGTTAGTAACTAGGATTAAGCTACTTGTACCCCAACCTTTTGTACCCCACTTTGTACACCGCAAGTTTACACCAACATTTTGTGTTGGTGTAAAACTAATTTTTGTTAACGCACCAACACTTTGTGTCCGTGTAAATTTTTGTTAACGCACCAACATTTGTGTCGGTGTAAACCATCTAAATGTTTGTGTATAACTGCGATGTACAAATGGGATACAATTTTTGGTGTTAATGTAGCATGGTCCTAGTAACTATATGGCACTGCAACAAAAATTTTTCCCAATTTTTTTTAAAACATATATAGGTCATTTGCTCCATATTATTCCCTCCAAGCCACACCCTCCTCACTTTCCCCTACCCTCAAAGCTATTCCCCTCTTCAATTCTCGATGCTCTTATTGGACTGTTCTTCGACAATAGATCATATATTGGACTTAATCCATTTTCTCTCCATGTTTTTGATAGCATCAGTTAGGTTCTCGGACTTATGGTGTTACAGCAGTATGGAATTCTGAATTTGATAGCATCTGTTTTTGTCACGCCGTGAAGACTGCCGAAAGAAACCAAATCTCTTGAGGATTCTTGGACTCCTGAAATCAGTTTACTTCTTACTTGATTAAGTTTCCTAGTAGGAATATGTTTTTCTTGTGATATACTCTCCCCATTCAAAATTTTCCTTCCCAATTTGACCGTGCAGTTAAAATCGTCCAAAAGGCCATATAGTTGGTGTAAATTGCAGAAAACTAAATGCTAAGGATATAGAATGCAGGGAGAAATCGTGTAAATGTGGAGGATAAAAAGGGCTGTTTAATATAGTGCAGGAACTGCCATTGATGGTATATTTGTGAAATGCAGGGACATTGGGGAGATGGTAAGAGAGATAAATTGATGAAAATGTGTATAGCAATAGAAAGCAATGTGCGAAGGAAAAGCAAAGGATGAAGGAATTGAAATGGGTGAAGGATATGCTTTGGAATGGCCCAGAGAATTTATAGTTTATTAGGAAGTCCATAATTGAGTCACGTTGTTGTAATGCCAAACTGAAGGCGGGGAACAACGTATACCATTTTATTTTCTCTTTATATAGAGTAGGATGGTGAAACTGTCACATTTCACCAGAATCGCCTACAGAGTGTGTCCCCCCTACTTCAAACCAATCAACAGATTACTCTCTTCGTCTTCGTTAAATGACTTGCGAACTGGTCAACCCAGCTTATACTCCTACAACAAAGCCATTGGTAATCTAGTCAAATGTGGATCCATAGAGTCTGCCCTCCAGCTTTTCGATGAAATGCCTGAATCTGATGTTATCTCCTGGAACACTGTAATTTGTGGGCTCAATCGATCCGGGTTTCCGGGGAAATCTCTTTACTTTTACAAGAGGATGATTGGCCAAGGAATAATTGAGAACTCCTCCACGTTCTCGTCTGTTTTAAGCATATGCAACAATGCAGGTTTTTACAGACAAGGGTTTGAGATGCATTGTAGAGTGGTAGTGTTTGGGTTGAATATGAACATCTACATTGTCAGTGCACTTGTTGATCTGTATATGAAAGTGGGTCTTGTTTATCTTTCTTTGAAATTGTTTTATGACTTGCCCGAAAGAAATTTAAGTATATGGAACGTCGTATTGCGTGGAATCTGCATTTCAGGTAGGTCAAATGAGTTATTAAAATTGTACACCGATATGAAGTTGGAAAATGTGGAGCCTAATGAGCTTAGTATTTGTTATTTGCTCCGTGGTTGTTGTAGCGGGCGACTTCTTCTTCAAGGGAGGCAAATGCATTGTTTTGTGCTGAAGAATGGGTGGTTGGTGACGAATTTGTTTATAGCTAACCATTTAGTCGATTTTTATTCTGCTTGTGGGGTCTTAAGTGATGCCTGGAAATTGTTTGTGGTTATCCCACCAGAAGATGTGATATCATGGAGTTCAATGGTTTCTTGCTTTGCTTCCAACGGGCTTTTACATGATGCCTTACAAGTCTTTCAAAAGATGCAATCTTTGGGCAAGACGCCATCAGCTCAATCTTTGTTGGGACTTTTAAATGTATCAATTGCGGGAAAACATACGCTGCTTGGAGAGCAAATTCATTGCTTTGTCCTAAAACTGGGATTTAACTATGGAAATGTCCTTATTCAGTCAGCTTTGATTAACATGTATGGAAAATGCGGCGACATTGAGAGTTCGGTGTTTTTATTTGAGAACACCCCCGACCCCACTCTTGAATGTTGCAACTCCTTGATGACATCTCTACTGCATTGCAACATCATAAAGGACGTATTTGAATTGTTCTGTTTCATGGTTGAGGAAGGCATTGGATTTGATGGGGTGAGTCTGTCCTCCACGCTTAAGGCACTATCACTGTCGGCTTCTGTAAGCGTGAATAGCTGTGGTTTACTGCACTGCTGTGCAATAAAGTCGGGGTTCGTATATGATATTGCAGTAACTTGTTCTCTGATAGACACACATTCGAAATCTGGTCACCTCTCGCGCTCTCAACAAGTTTTCAGGGAGCTTCTTTCTCCTAATGCCATATGTTTCACGGCTATGATCAACGCATATGCAAGGCTAGGGAAGGGAAGCGAGACGCTTAAGATGTTTGAAGCCATGATCCGGGAAGGCCTGGAACCCGATGAAGTAACATTCCTGTGTGTGTTGATGGGCTGCAGCCACTCGGGCATGGTGACCGAGGCGAGAACAGTGTTTGACTCAATGAGCACTGTTCATGGAATCAGTCCGGACCGGCGGCATTATTCATGCATGGTGGACCTTCTGGGCCGCATTGGCTTGGTGAGCGAGGCAGAAGAGTTAATTCAAAGCGCAGCACTTGAGGGAGATTCTGTCCTGTGGAGTTCGCTCCTACGTAGTTGTCGCACTCATAGGAACGAGCAAGCAGGAAGGAGGGCTGCGGAAAAGCTGATGAAACTTTGTCCGGATTCCCCTGCTGTTTGGTTGCAAGTCTCAAACTTTTACTCCGAAATCGGCGATTTCGATGCATCAGTGCAGCTTCGGGAGGTCGCAGTAGCAAGGAAGTTGAGTAGGGAAATCGGGTACAGTTTAATTGATAATGAGCAACAAAACTAATGATCTTGCCCAAGCCCTCATTTGCTCTTTTGTTTTTGGTATAAAGCCCTAACCAAACTTCTCTCTGATTTCACATTTTTACCAAATTCTATGAACATGTCTACTACTTCTATATAAAACCTTAGATGCATAAGATCACTGTGAGCCTTCTATAGTAACTAGAATATTATTATGAAACTGAGGAAGTATTTGGATAAGATTTATCGAAACGGCCTTCAAAAGGACTAGTTTAGCTCACTCCACTAGAGACATAAACATGTACATAGACTAATATCAATCCAACATCAACGAAAATTACCAAGTGAAGACTAGAACGTTCTCCATATACTAAAATAGAGTTTCATTAATTTTAATCAAAATATGACATATAATAATGTCAAAGAATATCAATATATGATGCCAAGAAATATTGTGAAATGCTAACATATAATAAAAAGTTGTAGCATTGCGCAATGTCAACGCTCCTATTTAAAAGATAAAAATATTAGAGGTCTTATATTGATATAAGTTTAATATTTTGATCTTATTTAGCTAGATTTTGGTTTTCTTTGGCATCACCCGACCCATTACAATAAATCAAAACTTAAAACAATATGATGGTGGAATTGGGTGATGAATCGGGTCAGATGCGAGTCGAGATATTTGTCACCCGTCTCTCAATCCATCACCGACTCATCTATATCCATTTTAAAAAGATTAAAATACTATCTTAAACTATAATCTTCTAGTGTGCACTGTCAACTCTCCCATTTTTACAACTCTTCCATTTTTTAGAAACTCTATTCATTACGCAACTCCCACTACAACCGAACACTTCGTTCTCCTCTAGCATTACGTCTAAAGCTTAGGTTGGAATACCTTAAATAAATATTTTAAATAAGTATTTAATTATACTCCGTATTTATTATAACAGCAAAGTTTCCATGACACTTAAAGGATGGCATTGGCTTCAATTGGGGCCTACAGTACCCAGTTCAAAAAATTGATGGTTCCTACCCCCTAGAATCCCCCTGGTAAACCCCTCACTCAGGCTTGACCCAAATCAACCCCCACCCCCTTGAATTACACTCTTAAATTTTAGTTGAAGGGGTAGTGCAATTGTGGTGGGGGTGGGGGGTTGATTCGGGGTCGGGCTGGTGTGGGATTAGAAAGAGTCAACTTTTCAAACTGGGCATCATAAGGGTCTTAATTGAAATCCGAGTCACACTATGACATTGGAGTTCATTATCACTTGAACCTCTCCGTAGTAATCCTAGTGGGGTATAATGTTTGGGAGAACTCCTTGGATAAGAGTAGAAAGGTATGAAAACACTAAAATGGAAGTCTTAAGTCTTTTAAGACCAAAATAGGAATTCACACTTTCATTGTTACATTGCCACACATACTTCATTGTCAACGTGCAGGGGGTATAATGGGATATAATAATTGGGAGAACTCCCTAAATAAGAGTAAAAAAACAAAAATGAAAACACCAAAATGGAAGTTCTAAGTCTTTTAAGACCAAAATAGAAATTCACACTGTCATTGTTACACTGTCATACTTACTGCATTGTTACACTCCAACTGCCACACTTTGGAACACTGTTATCTATTTGCCGTTGCCACTAGAGTGCCGACGTTGACCGGCCGTCCGCCGGAGGTCGACTAATCATATTGCCATATTACACTGTCATCATTTTTTCATCATACTGGCATCACTCTTACATCACATTGCCATTATACTCCTATTTTAGTCTTAAAGGAAAAAGACTTAAGACTCCTATTTTGGTGTTTGAATGTTTTTTTACTCTTATCCAGAGAGATTTCTTATAATGTTTTGGAAATAAGAACTCTAATAAAATTAAACAAAACAAAATAACAAATGTTCAAATTTGGTTCTCGTGTTTGGTTTTTTTATCACAAGACCTGGCTGTCAAAATCCTATCTGTCACCTTTTCTCTGCTGCCGCTTGAAAATCAAAGTACAGCAACGGGATGCTCATGCTCTAACTTTCTCTTCAATGGTGAAACACTAATTTTGTGTAAATGCATTGAAAAGCTTGATTCGGATGGTATTTCCATTTTCAGAGCTTGAGATGGAGAACTAACATTGACAAGTTGAATTCACGTTCTAAAAGGTATGAACCATGAGTCCTTATTGTCTTCTACTTTTCAACACGTTTCGTAGCTTCTTTCTTCCCGGTAGTTTTCTTTTACTTCTATATACATATATATAGTTCTCTTTTTTACGTGCTATAGCAGTGTCTAAATAAACATGCACCCCTTTCTGGTGGCAGGCATTAAATCTCTGGTGCGAGGTTCAGACATGGTGGTTTCCATTAATGCCGTGGAGCATCTTCTGCAGTATCGATTCAAGGACAAGAGGCTTCTCGAAGAAGCTCTGGCTCACCCTTCTTATGCTGACTCACCCCTTATCAGTGTCTGGAGTTCCTAGGCAACATGGCTCTAGGCTTGGCCTTTTTAAGTTTCGTCTTCTTAACCTATCCTCAGCTTGACCCCGGATAACTCTCTCTTCAGCGTGCCACCAACATCAGCACTGAGAAGCTTGCTCGAGTAGTAGTTGATAATGCCCTCAGGTTTTTCCGCCACAGTTCTGCTCTTGGTGAAAAGGTATGGACATTGTTTAGCAGACCATCCGAACTCAACCATGATCATCCACATTAACTGTATTCCTTCGAATATAGATTGGATTTGATTTACATTTGAAAAAAAATGGTCCATTTGCTTGAAGTTCAGCTGAAAATTGTCAGTTAGTTTGAAATAATTGATTTTATTAATTGATATTTGACTGAATTCGGGTTAAATAGGTCACGAGTTTGTGATGACGGTCCAAGAAGAGGACGAGACTCAGTTCTACAGTGGAGCTATCAAAGCTCCCAAAGTTCTGCCGACATTGTAGAGTCCAGAGCCGGAGCCGTGTACGTGGATTGGCGGTTCAATTTGGAGAATCTTTGGCTGGTGTGTATCTATTGTTTTTCATTCTATGTTGTGAGTTTTCTTGATTGTTAGGCAGTACAATTTCTGATAATGACTGCATGTTCTAAACAATTTTGCATTGCTAGTCTAATATTTGCATATATGTACTCTCAAGTGGTGTGTTTGGCCTCTCAAACAATGAAAACAGAGTTTGGGCAGGTTTTAATCTGATCAGAGGATCATGAATGTTTGAACCTGTGATTTTAGATTTCATTAGAAAAAAATTAAAGTTGTAGTGTTAGGTGTTAATTGCATATATGTTTTCTAAGTTATGTCTCCAACTAGATTACATTCTAAAAGTATTTGTCACTTTACAAGAGCTAAAAAGGTCTTGTTTGAAGATATTACATAATTAGGTTTAAAGAATCAATCTAGAAGTTAAGATTACAATGAAATCTTCCTGTGTTTTTTTAAAAATTCTCAAATTCATGTTTCAAGCTTCTCCTTGGTTTATTTTGGTGATAAATGCTTTGCTGTTGTTGTTGATAAATGCATTCTAGCTCATTTAAGTAGATTAGTCTATTTTCTAAAGAACAGGGTTAGATTCAACTTTTTGATCATTTTATTGAACAATTTGGTGTTTTGCTAATAATGTAATACGAAACATTTAAAATATGAGGTACTGTTGAGTTGAAATGGTATATTAAACATGAGAGGTTGGAAAGCACTCCACTATATGGGTTCCTAGTTTTATTTTCCTGATGAGCAAGTTTTTACCCTCTTTGACTCTTGACATGTTATTTTTGTTTTTTATTTTTATGTTTAGTACTTCTTTTACTTTTGACGTCTTGATAGTTCTGCTTTGCTATGCATTTTATTGATGCGTCTCTATGATTTTTTTTGTGCTTTGCCAAAGGGGTGAAATATAGAGGTCTTTAAGTATGGATGAACATATAATTTGGGCACATGGCTTGTGTAAATTTATTCTATCCTGTATGTCATGTTGTCTTTTAAGAGATTATTTTCAACATAAAAGCAGAGTTAATTTTAATATCATTGATTTTAATGTTTAAAAATATTGTAGCTAATCAAAGTGCGTTCTTTCTTGCATATTTGCAAACAGTTTTTTGACTATCATCGTGGCATCTTCATTTGGATAATTTGCTTGAAATTCAAGTCAGGGTCTAATTTTTATAGTAGTAAAGAACAAAATTGTGGGATATGCTTTCCTTTTCTTTAATGAAGAAGCTTTTATTGATCATCAAGGAGTACAACTGAAAGTACAACAAAAGAAGCCAACAAAACAGAGAGTACAAAGAGAACATATAAACTAGTCATCAATAGATCTCTTTCCATGCTTCCAAAATTGATCCAAGCCCTTCTTTAATGTCTTTCTCAAGAAGCATCCAATTCTTCTTTCTGTTTATATAGCTCCAAGTTTGAATCAAGTATATGATGCTTTGAATTATTCTCTTGATATGTGGCTTCCTTCCTTCAAAAAAATTCCTGTTGCACTCCTTCCAAACGGTCCAAGTAATGAAACCTGGGATAATCTATCTAAGCTTTGCTCTTAGGTTCTTGCTTTGACTTCTTAACCACCATTCCAGCATATGGAGTCTAAGGGGAGTTGTGTGAAATGCTTTCCTTATAGTATATTGCCAATGTATCATGTTTTGGATATATGCGATGAAGTTTGATTGGTTTTACTTGTCTTGTTTCTCAACCTAAACATGACTAGGAAAAGGCAAATTGTTTGTGCATTTTTGTATGAACTGCATATGATATCTATTTCATTATGGTGCTAGGTCAATGCACTTGGAGAAAAAAAGTTGCTCATCACAGATGCAGAGAACTCTGCTGCCTATGCCATGCTTTGTAGCCTGAAAGATGAGAATGCCATTTGATTCTTCTCTGAAGACGGAGCACTGTCTCCTATGATATTCACATGGATTTCTCACACAGCTCAGAATCATAATAAAAGTGGCTATATGAAATGAGGTATTTCATCTATCATCATGGGGTAGAAGTCCATTTGAATGAATGATTATCTTCCATTTTGAACTGCTTTTTTCATCTATCATGGAGGAAGTTAGATCTTTATGTGAATGCCGTTGTAAATTCACACTCCAATTACATTTGTACCTCTATATGAATATATAAGTTCAACTTTAACCTCACTATGAGAATGCCTATATTCTTTCAATTTAACTTTATCCTCACTATGAGAACTCAGATTTTTTCGCTTCTTATTTTATTAAACAAGTCGTATCTTGCTCGACCAAAAAACAAATTTTATGATTATATCAAACGTGGTAAGACCCCATGCTTGCCAAACATTCTCATCTCTGTAAGTCTCGGACATTAATATTTACTTATTTGCTTTCTCAAGTAGAATATGTCACGATTAGTACATTTACAAAATATTTTATTGGTTTCACAATCAATAACTTTTCTCTACAAGGTAAATGATACTCCGATATAATTTACCAAATTCTACACAAATATTCACAGAGATGCTTAAATGTTAACAAACAATCAATTCAATTCACACAAGAGTAAAAGGGTTAAACAAACTCAATATTTTGTCAACATCTTAAACTTTACTTTTACAAATAAGAAATTGCCATATAATAAAAATTTATGTAGATTTAAGTTATTATCTAAAGTTAGGTTAATTTTTTTTAAAAATAAATTATCTTGATTAATTATACTCCCTGCGAAGTTTTTTTACTTTCTATTAAGAAGTCAATATTATCCATACTGATTCATAATTTGCATATCACATCATATCTACTTAGGCTAAGGGTATGCATTCATTTTCCTCTCTTCTTCTGTCAACTCAGCACCGCGTAAGTTTTTCTTTTCCCTTTTCCTTCCCCTTTCAAGGGTGTGCATCCCCTTCCCTTCCCCCTTCCCTTCCAATTTTTAATATTATTTTTTGCACTTAGTTTAAATAGAATAATTAAACTAAAAATATAAAATACAAAAAAAAACTAAATTAGAATTTAAATTGAACATTTCTTTAAAATAAGAAATAAAACAATAGTCCGTCTAAAAAATATGTAAATAAAAGTGTGCAAAACAATATATACTAAGAAATTTATATTATTTTTTAATATTTAATTTAATATAATATAATTAAACAACTGCCATAATAACAACTCTATTGATTCCCACAAAAGTAGAGTCTGGGGAGGGTCGCAGACCTTACCCCTACTCTAAAATAGAGAGACTATTTTTAAAGAGACCCCTGGCTCAGCATTGAAAGTTGTATTCATTGACTAACTGCTAATTCATTATTTAAAGAAGCACAAACTATTTAGGGATTCATTTTACTTTATTCCACCACACTTTAAAGTTAAAAAATAATAAATTTTTGGCTCCATTCGAGATGATTGAAATAAAATACAAAATACAAAATACAATTAAGTAGTACTCCCTCCGTCCCGTTTTAAATCGACCATTTTGACTTTGGGTCATATTTAAGAAAGAGAAAAAATGTAGTTGACTTTCCGAAATTATCATTATATTTTAGGAGGGGTGAGGATGAATGAGAAGATAAGGTGGATAAGAGTAACTTATTTTAGGGTAGTTTAGGTATTTTACTCTTAAAAATTTACGATAACAAGAAACAGACAACTTATTTTGGGACGGAGAAAAAAACAGACAATTTAAAATGGGACAGAGAGAGTACAAACTTTAGAATAAACTAAAAATTAAAAAACTAAAAAAAATAAGATCAAAAGCAATGAAAGAGAAGAGCTAAAAACTAGACCTGGCAAAACTGACCCGGACCCGATAACCCGAACCGAATAACCCGAAACCGAACCCAAATTGACCCGAAAATTGAAGAACCGAAATAGAACCGAACACCCGAAATGATCCGAACCGAACCAAAACCGAATGTATTCAGACCCGATTCAGATCTGAACCCGACTTAACCCGAACCAATTAAACCCGAACCGATTAAACCCAAAACCAATTAAACCCGGAATCGATTAGACCCGAAACCGATTAGACCCGAAATGGATCAAATTTATTAATATTTCATTTATCAAATGAACTTGGAGAAAAAGAATTACCGATATATTTTTACATATGTTGATGTGTTTCTAAAAAAACATATTTAAATGAAATAATATAAACCTAAACCGATATAAACCCGAATCGATATAAACCCGAACCAATACAAACCCGTACCGATACAAACCCGAATCGATATAAACCCGAACCGATACAAACCCGAACCGGAACCGGAACCGAACCGAAAACCAGTCAAGCCGAAATAAACCCGGAACCGAACCGAACCGATTATAACATATATTCGAAAGAGACCCGAACGGAAAAGACCCGAACCGGAATCGAACCGATTGACCCGATTGCCAGGTCTACTAAAAACTATACTCCATAAAAATTAAAGCAACAAAAAAATTTTAAAAAGAAAACTAAAAATTAAAAAAACTACTTGGTAAAAGAAAACGGTCAAAAGCAACTAAAGAGGAAAAAAAAGAAAACGCAGCACAAATTTGATGGGAAAAGCGGGATGTTCCCCTTTTTCCCTTGGTGCCACGCGGGCTTCCGGCACCCCTTCACGTAACTACGTAAGCACACCTTCAATCTAACTAGTAATCCAACATTTGGATCTTCTTTTATCCATCACATCTAAGATTATTTATGAAATTAAAAAATATATCACTCACCTTAATTTCATAAACGTTGAAATGAGAAGGAGATTTTTGAGAGAGAGGGCGATGGGTATAATCCATACCGAGCTAGAATACCAAGACTGGTTGGGCTATGACTGGTCGAGGGCAAAAGACACAACAACATAATGAGTTTTTGCACCATTTATCCCTCTGAACTTTTCAAAAATTGCACAAATTATCTCTAAATTTTAAAATTTGCACCCATACACCCGAGCTTTTAAAAATGTTATACCAATGGTCTCTTTGCACCGTATTTAAAAACTCTTTAATCACACGCTCATCAAGTGCAAGTATATCACACGTGAGTTTTATAATATGCCCACCAAAAGATGATCTTATATAATTTTAATCTCTTTAAACCTAGATAATCATTCTCGATTAACTCATCAGTAACCAAATTCGAAGGTCGAACATCGATTGGTATCATCAACTGATCAATCTATTTATCAATCCATGACATTTTTATCAAGCTCCAACATGTATATTGATGAACATGTGATTACTGCATTGACTAATCTAAATGTATGCAATGAAAAAATTTACACTATGAACAAATTACTCATATTTGAATTCGATCAAATCCGGCATTAACGCATTGAATTTATAAAGAATGGGGGGAGGGGTGCGTCAAACGTTTGACTCAGGGTGTGTAATGCCAGAATAACGCACTCGGGGCTGTGTTTGACGCCGTTCGGACGTCAAAAGGCGGGTGACGCCCAGGTGTTACCCGGATATCCATTGCTCTTATTAATGAAATCAAATCTTAATAAAGTCATCATAACAGCTCTTATTTCGAATCCCCATAGAACCATTTTTAGGCCAAGAACGACTCTTGTTGCTCTGCTCAATGAATGCTTCCAAAATTCCATTGGTGTCTCACTCCCAAAATCCCCCGGACGCTCTAATGGCTCCGCCATCGGAGATCGATTCTCAGCTTACCTCTATCGTCTCCGGTACTCTCTCTCTCTCTCTCTCTCTCTCTCTCCTTCTCTATCCACCACCTTCATTTTACGTATCTATCGGTTTGCTTGTAAGCTAATCAGAATACACCGTTTAGCGTTTCGGTTGAAATTTATCTCAATTGAAAAGTCTAAATCCTTATCGCTTTGCAGATTACTGGAATGTTCTTCGACAATAGATTATTGGACTTGAATTTTATTTTCTCTAGATGTTTTTGATAGCATCTGTTAGGTTCTAGGACTTTTGGTGCTACCGCAGTATGGAATTCTGAATTGTTTCAAGCTTTCATAAATTTGTTGTGCTAATTAACTGATAGTGCTTCGATCGTTTGGGTTCGCACTATCATACGTCTGAGATTGGGAGTGTCAACTTGGGAATTCCTGTTGTAGAGAGTTAACTTCCTATGCTAATAATGCCTATTCTCTAATTAAACCACTTCTCATTATGCAGCTTAATATCAATTTTAGATGTGTAGAAACTGGACTGCTTTGATTTCTCACAATTCCAGTATGTGTATACCATCTCCTTTTTTTTGTGCAAGTAAAAGGTTTTGAAGACTATTTTAGCAAATATTTGCAGACTTAATTACCATGTGCCATTGATGTGATATGAGGCAAGCAAGTTTCCGAAATTGAGGGAGTTTTTTTCATTCGTCAAACAACCTCTACTCTATGGCTAGATGCAATCTGTGCACATTTCACCATCTCAGACTCTAATCCTGAGTGAGATATACTAAGTATATTTGTTTTGGAAACATCTTGCCTTTGACACTTTACCTGACTATGGCATGGTTCCACAACCCTTTTCATATTGTGAATGTTATGAACCTGCAGATCTCTCGCAACATGTGCACGGTGTACTGGAGAACATGGTAAAATTGATAAAGTGAGCTCCCTCCACTCTCAATGTTTTTTCTATATGTTACTAAGCACATTCTGAGTGTCTTGTGTGCTGTTGTATTGTGTGTGTACTACTTACAAGAAGGGGCAAGGTCTGCCACTCTGCGTACACATTCTCCCCAGACCCTACTTTTGCGGGACCCAATTAAATTGTTGTTGTAGGCGCATTCAGCAAAATAGTGTGAATTTATAATAACTGCGCGGTCATGGCTGCTTTCATTTTGTAATTGAATTTTTTTTCTAGTCTTCATTGTGTTTTTCTTATTCCTTAACTGGAAATCACTTTTACTTTTTAGCACATGTGATGTGCAGTATTAGCCATATGCCCATGGCAAGTAATGTTTTTTTTAAGGCTTATGACTTGAGTTTTTTGTGGACCTCCTACAGGGAAATTGACCAGAACTCCACTGAAATAGTGGAAGATATAGAAAAGTGCAAAAGCACTGCTCTTGAGAGGAAGATAAGCTTAGAAGAACAGAAGGCACAATTTCAGAAAGCCGCTTATGCCGCTCTAAACATGCTGAATAATGAAGAGATCAACTGATGCTGTACGTTTTTGCAACTCTTTTTTTAATGCTTGTTACTCTGATTGATAGACTCCGGTTTCATGCTGCTAGCACTATATGTTAGCTCTCACTTTCGTGGTCTCTCGGTTTATTGTTCGCACCCCAATAGAGCTTTTACACATAAAATATATTAGGGAGGAACACAATGAATTCTCCCAAATTGTTGAAGGAAGAAAGATTGGGCAACGGTGTCAAATGGTGAATACTGATGAACAGTGAATTGGTTTTTATTGTACGATTCATATGATTTTTACTACCTCCATCTCACTTCCTTTTCCTTCTTTACTGTTTTTGTATGTTCCATGATCTTTGTCTCATTATGTTATGAAATACTCTGTCTTTATGACTCCTTCGGTCCCAGAAAAAATTTTCTGATTCAGTTTATGACTGAATCTGTTTTATTCATGAGAAAATTACTCAAATAGGACCAAAACATATGATGTTTCCCAAAATAGGACCGGTCCTATTGACTCAAACGTTTGGCCATGCGAATGGACAAAAATGCCCTATACGTACCGGTGCCATCTTGAATAGAGAAAAGACAAAAATGAAGCCCCTAGTTTTCCGGTATTGACAATCCCAGCCGATTTTCCAGGGGTCTTTCTTTGCCATGTCTATCAAGAGCTTTTCAAGAGACCAAAAGTCATTAGGTATATTAAATTAGGGTCCAAATTAGCATTTATGACTCACAAAAAGACCAAATTTCCATAAATAGTTCTTAAAATTTGAAGACAGCGGGAAGGAACTGATTTTTATGGCACACAGAGATGAAGAAGGCGACAATGTCTATGTGAAAGGGCCGCCAAATGTCAACACCAACATACTGGTGAAGGTTAACTCCAGGACTTAGTATTTACATGTATTTATTCGTTTGATTTGATTTCTCGAAACCAGAGTAAAGGGGGTGTGTGCTTCCCAAAACTGGAGTGGCTCAGTTTTGGTCTTTGCTTCACCCGAAGGTGCTTAGTGCTTCCCAAAACTGGAGGGTGATGTTCTGGTAAATATCTGCTTTGCTGTTTGTCTAACTAGGCGCCTATTCAGATTTATCTTTTGAAAATTTCCTCCAGCTTGTCCTGCGCTAGACTTCTTTTCTTTTAATTCCTATTGTCAGGGTTTGGAAATGAATTCTAATTGCATAAAAAATAATAATAATAAAGATATGAATTATAAGAATGGTTTCATTTTGTGGTCTTTGTAAATAATGGCGTCGTCTGAGATTTGTTTTTTAGTAATGGCTTACGATTTTCTTTATTGATTGTTCAATGGAGATTTATGACTTATGATTCTGATGACTGTATAAGATGATATTAATATTAGTTGTCTTAATAACAACGAATCGCCATTTTCAACATCCAAATTGACTGTAAATGGTCATTTTATGACATATTTATGTAAGGTGTTGGTTTATAGACATTATGATGATTGATACTTGACTGCATATGAATACTAAGAGATTAATAGGTAATTTTATTAATATTATATGAGGCGTATGTTTATAGAGATTCGGTTGATTACACGTGGTTGGTGATTATGTGTTTTTGTGAATGAGAGTATGTTTAGATCTTGGATTCTTGGTAAAAGGCAGTATATACTTGGCCATTTGGCCATTTGCCCATCTTCATACAGTCATTGTAATTTGGCCATCAGATAATCATGAAACAACACACATGTGATTTGGCCATTTGCAAGGATAATGACAACTTGGAAGTAGTATCCAAAAAGAATAAAAATTGATGTTTTTTTGTAAATGAGTAACTTTAATGTGTATGGTTGTGACAGGTTTATCGTAGAATCGGCGTTCTTCCAAAACGAATTGGCTTTTGGACAATTCTTGGACATCGGAGATATGCAGATTATTGTTTCAGCCTTTCAGGGTTCTTGTTTCCATTACAAGTTTGGGCTTTTGACACAAGTTGTCATGTTGAACAATGCATATATTGGTATAATGTGTTAATGAGTAATCTTGGAATTATTTTTTCACCTTTGAAAACGTTTTAAGTGTGCACGAGTGCATACTTAAGCATTGGTGTATAGACATTAGACAATATGAAATGCGAGTTTACAATTTGTTATATTGACAATTTGACATGATGCATGTATTTGTCGCTTGACGGCTTTAGATTAATACATTTTGCGTATAGACTAAATGATAAGCGAGTTTTATCCTAAGATGACTTGAAGCGTTCATTGGTTATACTTGAAAGCTTTTCATTAAGACATTATGTGCACATGCATGGACATTATGATGACATTTAAAGCACATTACATATGTCAATAATAAATGACAGACACACTTTCTTGAGTATAATTAGCCGATGCATGTGTTTTGTTAATTGACACTCTTAAAGTGAATACCCGTGATAACAACACAATAAATGTAGTGTTAAGAAATACATAGTATCCCACAGTTGTGCAAAATTTCAAAGCCAATATGACAGGACATTCTGAAAATGATAAGACATTACAGAAGGATTCTGTGCATTGCATAAAATGATAAATTAAGGAGAGTAATCTTTCAAAGGTCATTAATAGGGAAAATCTCATGTGTTACTAATTAAATAATAGCGAATTAGTAGTACATACTAAATACGTTGAAGACATACCAACTAAGGGAAAAATTGGTGTTAATATAATTGTTAGAAAATGATTCTTTTATTTGGGCACTATGAGTATTATATGAAAATGACATCATGTGGATTACTGAGACTTTTTTGTGTAAAGATTTTTATTGAAATGGAACATTACACGTGGTTTAGACGGTTAGACATTTTATTGTTGGTTCAAAAGAAACTTAACCACATGCGCCATTGTATTCATCAAAAGATTTTCAACTTCACGCATCACGCTCAAAGAGAGGGGGCTGTGTATCCCCCACCTCATCTCGATCCCACGTCCCATAGAATTTATCATGTTTTAATTTTTTCCAGTCAACCAATATCAATCTTTGATCTATAATTAAATAAATTTTATGTAGTGTATTAATTAGATAAAATAATAGTTTGAAAAAAGTTTGTAAATAAATCTAATAAAATTATTTTTGTATCACTATTTAATATAAATTTTATTTAATTAATGATCAAAATTTATTAATTTTAATTGCAAAAAGTAAAAACTAGATAAATACTTTGAGAGGTGAATCGTATGAGACCTGCGGCTAATAAAGATAAAAATGGGAGAGACAATGTAATAATCTCCTAAAAAATACGAGTAGTTTATGAACAATACGGAGTAATCTTCTAAATACGTGTGGAAGTTGCGGAAGGATAACAAATCATTGAATACGTGTGGAAGTTGCAGAAGAATTTGGAAAAGGGTAAATTTGGGAGCCTTTATTAAAATTACTCCTACATAGGGGGAAAAGAACTTAGTAAGTCCTATCTAGGGAAAAGTGAGATCTCTTAGTCTTATATTGAACAATATTTTCTTTATTCATTTCATGTGACATTTGATGTAAAATAAAAAAATTAAATATTTTAAAAAAATTCAAATATTCTAATAAGAGGCGATGTGGCTATTTTTTGTTAAATGATTAATACAAATGTACTCCTTTCGCCCCCCCCCCCCTTTGAACTAAGTTTATTTTCAAATATGTTTTGGGAGCTTAGGGGTGCATCAGTCTAAACTTAGACCGGGCCGACTCGGACTTGTACCGAATATGGGCATTTCTTAGATCAAGGATTGGATCAAACATGGTAAGAACCGGATTGGACTGGACCACGAGCAAATACTTTTTTTAAAAATAAATTATCCTATCCATTTAATACAAGACTTGTTTGGTGTTATTAATTACTCCATAGTAACCTAAATACACTGTACATTTTTAATCCTAAGAGTACCCTATCTTATAAATAAATTACTGTAATAAACTATAATAAGACGTTATGGTTGAGAGGAAGGTACTCAGAAACTGAAAAGGGAGCTTCGAATCAAGTCGCAAGCTTAATAAGAATTGAAGAAAGGAGATAGACGAGAGAGATAGATTCATAGATTTGAGGGAAAGATATTTATTATCCATTCATTGATCTCATAAGTACAGATAAATGAGGTATTTATAAACCAACACCAGCTTACAACTAACCACACAACCCCTTAACCACTCACTAATCACCTGTATCATAAGGGGTAGACAGTAAAATTTTACGTGACTAGAAGTGATGTATGGTGTGTTTATACCCTTGTGCGAGCAAAACTCGATGCCTCATCATCATCAAGCATTCAAGAGCCATTGACAAATCTTGTTTGTTATCACCTAATTAGAAAAAGCTTTACATCAAGAAACTAACGTTGTACAACACACGGACCGCTTGAATCCAGATATCATATTCTTGGGGATAATAACTACATGTACTGAGCCAGCCATTGTTTGCACATATCAAGAACTGGAAGTGCATTAGCATGTAACGCCTGCATAAGAAGGAAAAAATGATCATTCTAAAAATGAGAGGATCAGTGGATGGATTGTTTGTCTTTTAAGTTAGGGTCACAGATTTCAACAACAGGAGATGCGAGATGCAAAGTGAACCTGATGTGCCACATACTGAACGTCGGCCAAACTTCCACTTCTAGAAGCGATTTGGAATGCACTTTTGAGACGACCACAAACAACACAGGCCAGTACCTTTCTGCAACAACAAAGCTAAAGTGTGAGAAATTGCTAACATGGTAATTTACTACTCCCCTCTCTCCCATAATTATCTTCCTTCTTTCCTATTTGGGTTGTCCCAAAAATTTCTTCCTCTTTTCTTTTAAGGAAACAAATGCGTGGTCCATATCAATTATCTTTCCTCGACACAAACCACAACCACCAACGTTCCACTTTATTAAAAATTGTGTCAAGTCAAACCCATAAAATAATTCTGGGACACTCCCTCATAATTTTATCTTGCTCTGGTCTATTTTTATCCATCCTAAGTTAGCGCTACGCATTTCCATTTGTAGAAAGCATTAGCTGGTTTGACATGTTTCTTCTCCTGCATAAATCTCAATCTCAAAATTTTATTTTTCTTAATCACTATGCCCGTGTCAAACTGAGCAACATAAATTGGGGCAGAGGACGTAAGATATTAGATAGAATTTACATACTTCGTATATAGAAGAAGAATTTCAAATATATCTGTATATCTAAGAGGAAAGATTTCAAAGTTGCAAATGAACTATATATGTAGTATTAATCAATAATGAAACCACAATACTCAGCTGTGGGTTAGAATTATTTTTGGTCTTAAAGTATTCATCCTAATATCTTTTGGTCCTCTAAATAAGAACTCTTACGTTATAGTCCCCACATTAGTTTATTTTTAGATCATTCTGTTAACTTTTTAACCTTTTTACCTTTTGTTGTCACGTGTAAGGACATTTTCCACATGACCAACATGCTATTCTCATTAGTATACAACAACTGGGTTATTCTCATCACTATAATAATTATTTTTCATCTTAAGAAAATACATACGGACAACAAATAAGCCTTATCGAAGTAACTTAGGGTCAGCCACATGAACCACAAAGAGAATCACACTGTCATTCACGAAAATGCTCTTGCCATTTGCTTCTATCCATAACAACGCTCTTGTTCAAAATTAGATAAGACAAGTCCTAATCATATCCTTCCTCTTTTGCAAAATTCATTTCTCCACCCCTCAAGTCTTTTAAGTAGTGCATGACTAAGTCTTCTACGTGTCCAAACCACTCTGCAGTAGATTCTCTCTCAATTTATGTCCAATACCACTTCTACTTTCTTTTGGGTGATCTCATTTCTTATTCTATCCATTCTAGTGTGCCCACACATCCATCGTAACATACACATTTCAGTTACCTTCATTTTCATAATTTGGAACCTTTTAACCGTCCACCATTTGGTACTATATATTAATAATGTTGTCTGGATCGTGATTCTGTAGGACTTTGTCTTTCGCTTCAAAGGTATATCATGACTGCAAAGAGCTCCACTTGCACTCTTCTATACCAACCGCAACGGATTCTACACCTCCATCCAATTCTCCATCTTTTTGAGTAATAGAAACCAAATATCCAAAATGATAACTGGTTGGAATATTTTGATCCGTTAGTTTCTCAAAAATCTGATCCCCTTTAATTTTATATGTTCACTACACACTGACATTTCATATATTCTGACTTACTTCAACTGAGTTTTCAAAAGTTTACTCAAGAATCATCCTCCACATTTCTAACTTCTCATTAACACCACTCAAGTCTCATATATCAAAACAATATCATCGGCAAGCGCGCGGGCACACGCACACACACACACACACAAAGGGAAATCATCTTATATAGTATTGGACAACTCCTCCATACCCATCACAAAAAGGAATGAACTTAATGTCTATCCTTGATGTACTCTATAGTAATAGGAAACTCCTCTCTCATTCGTGTAGTGCTTCTTACATCTGTGCTTAGTCTCATCCGGGTGGGGGTGGGGGTGGACGGGAGCGGGAAAACATGGAAGAAAGGCTTAGGGGGTGGTTGAAAGAGTAGGAACAATCTATATTACGATCGGAGCACCGTAGGTGCCTCAATTGAATTGGTGTCACGAAGTGGTGTCATTTTTATTGTGTGACTTTAGAGGCCCTCACACACACACACACAGGGATCGACTCCAGTCAAATGACACCTTACGGTCAAATGACGCAAAGCTCACCACTAATCACAACACAGCTCACCAAGGACAACTGCAAAGCTCACAAAATTGTATGGAAAAGCTCACCATGATTTTTTTCACACTTTGAATTTTTAAAATTTTAAAATATCAATGCTCACAAACCCTAACCAAAAAGTTCACCATTCTTCAATGCAAAGCTCACCAAACATACACACGAAGCTCACCATACTACACTCGCTTAATGGACGCCTAGGCGGATGCCAAATCCCCTAGACGACTAGAATGTACTCTGGCGCCCAGCCTCCCCTAGCCGCTGTAACAACTATGTCAACAACAATAACAGACCTAGTATAATCCCAAACCCATTGGTGTTTACACAAACTTGTACCTGAGAGGTTACTTCCATTAGACCCGTTGTGCATCGCTGTGTTTACTTCCTAAATCTTCATAGGGAAAAATTTCATAGAAAGAAAAAAAAGAAAGGGAAGTTGAATGTGCCATTTTGATCTAATCCATTGCTAACCCGAAGCTAAAACATTTTTAAAGATGACTCTTTTAGCTCCATAGGCGATGGACTGATTTCATAATTCATAGTATGACTCATGAGCTTAATTTGAAATTTGAATAGTCCTAAACGTCACCTTTATTCTTGTATAGAGAAATCAAAGCACTTTTTCTCTATTCTGTTGGACTCTTTTTTATTTTGGAAATCCCGCTGAAGAGCGTTGTCAACCATTCTAAACCTATATCTCCTAAACACCTCTAAGTCATAATTTTTATATCACAGGGGCCTACTTCTTTTATTATTTCATATTTTTGACGGATAGGGGCCTACTTCTTTTATTATTTCATATTTTTGACGGCTACTATAACTTCATTTCTCTGCAGCCAATATATAAACAAAAGAATTAAATGAAAAATATGTATAGCAATCTTTTGTTCTTATACAGCATTGTTTTACAGTTTTACGTGGGTTGGAGGGTTGGGAGGGGGGCATTATGTGTTACTCGTCACTATTGTATAACCTTTGAGAAAGTAGAAATTAAAAATGCAATATTAGCTAAACAAAACTTGTGGGATTTCTTTAGGTTGTTATTATAAGTTGTTCATGTCAAGTACATGATAAATGTTCCCTCCATTCAAAGATCGACTACTTCATAAAATAAAATAAATATCACAGCGTAAATAAAAATTAGTCATGTAGGGGTTAGGAAAACGTACAACCACTTGCTGACCCCACTTGTGGGATTGACATTGGGTCGTTGTAAATTGTTCAAGTCAAGTACACGAATATTCCCAACATTTTATCATTCGACACTTCATAAACTAAAAATTATTATAAAAATAAAAAGTGTTGTAATCAAGTACATGATGATTATTTCATTCCTTTTAACATTGGCTACTTCATTTAATTTTATTATTTAATGTCACTGCTTTTTAAAGACAAATAAATTTATGGTGTATGCAAAAACCAGAGAACAAATTGTACTTCAACTCTATACATTTTGTAAACAGCTCTAGACTAGTGGAAACTGCCCTACACCCCAACAAAAAAAAAGAAAGAATACATGCGGAAACAAGTATTTTTCTTTTTCACAATTTGGTTACCATTTGATATGGATAATAATTGCTCCAACTCATATCTTATTAGCAACTCATTTCATCTACTTTTGGAACTGTGTCAAGAAAACTCCTATTTTTGAGTTTTCATTTCACTAGACCTTGCAAGTTGCAACCACTTGCTTATCTCCCAAGGTATTGAAATGTAAATTTAATTTTGATAATAATATATATATATATTATAGTTTTTGAAAGATTGTCCAACTTGTGTCTGTTCTGCACATTTGACATTCTGTAGTACCCCTAAGCATGCATGATTCTTTCACATTAAAAAACAAAACAGATTGTACATATATTGGTACCTGTGGCTGCTAGTCAACATGTCAATAAGACGGTCAGGGCGCTCCTTGTGCTTGTTTGCATAAACATTGATAGCAGCCCCCAAGACCTAAAGAGTTTAAATGTAATAGATTATTAGCTTACTAATAATTAGCTTAGCATTACCTAAATGACCACAAACTTCTTGCTCTTAATTTATCAATAATTGGTGGGACTCCTCGCTCAATCTGTAAAACCACAGTTGGCATTTAGTCAAACATGGTATGACCACTATGACCAGATGTTCACCGCAACATCCTCATCTCAACAATTTCAAACTTCTGCACACGCACCTTGTGTATCATCCAACATTAAGACCCATGCATTCGTCGCTTAATAAAACCCACGTTCATCGACTGCATGTTGTGGAGATGGGGATGCTGCGGTGGATGTGTGGGAAAACGAGGTTGGATAGGATTCCGAATGAGGTTATCCGAGGATGGGTTGGCATGACACCTCGGAAAGATAAGCTGCGGGAAGCTAGGTTGAGGTGGTTTGGGCATGTGAGGTGGCGGGATGCTGTGCGGAGATGCGAGACTCTTACATTGGTGGGTGGGAGTAGGGGAAGAAGAATTGGAACGACGTGATTAGAGAGAACTTAAGACTTCTTGCCCTTACTGAGGATTTCACCTTAGGAGCGTTCGAAGAGCTACGGTTAGAGTGGTTGGGTAGGCCGCAGGTAGGCGCTTTGGCCTAGGTGGTAGTTGAGTGCTTTGTATGCCTTACCTGCTTGGTACTCTGTGTTAACATTAGTTTGTTCTTTGCCTTTGTGTGCTTTGGGCTTTATCAGTGCTTTCTCTGCTTTATTATGTATCTCATGAGATCTTTTATTACTATTATTCATTGTTGTCAAGTCGTCGCCTAGGCCACGACTAGTCGCCGACTAGTCGTCCGGGCGATTTTGGGATGACGCTTTGCTCTTCGACTAGCGCCTAGGGCAGACTAGGCGATAAAGCGTGCAAAGCGACGCTTAGTCGCGCGTAGGCGACACCTAGTCGCTGAAAGAAATTGCCCAATTTGACCTAACCCAAGTTGACCCGACCCGACCCAACCCGACCCAAATTTCATTAATATTTAAAATTTTCGATAATACACGGCCTCCTTTGACGCAATCCATCCAATTGACAGTCAATCCAGGGTCGCGACTCTCCTCCATCAGCGACGTCTTCTAGTTCCAATAGTTCCCTGACTTCCGTCTACATCTTTAAACATAAGTTTGCTTTATGTGTTATCTTTAAACATAAGTTTGCTTTGGTTATGGTATTTTGTCATATAAATATATATATAAATATATATATATATATATATTTATTTATTTATTTATTCATGTTGGGTTAATGTAGATATATATAATGTTAAAAATTTCAATACTAATTGTGATTTGTCGACTAGTCTACGACTAATCTACGATTAATCGCCTAGTCCACTAGTCTCCCCCTCACCGCCTCGACTCGACTTGTCGACTTAACAACCATGCTATTATTATCTTTTATTTTTTCTGCTTGAGCCGGGGGTTGGAAATAGCCTCCCTACTTTCTAGTAGGGGCAAGGTTTGCATACACACACCCTCCCAAGACCCTACTCCTGCGGGATCCAACTAGGTTGTATTTTTTGACAAGTCAAGCTCATTTTAGTAATTTAGAAAAGAATTTTAAAAATGTTATTTTCTCTTGTAGGAAGAACAACATAAACAATCTAACATAATGTGTGGCGCATGAAAATGTAATCTGCCGGTAACATTACCAACCCCATAAAATTGGAGGTGAAATGAAAACTTTATTATTACCTCATCCCAATCATCATCAACTATTATGCCTTTAATATTTCTAAAGAATTCTGTTAGCTGTCCTCCCTTCTTCCTCTCAGCAAGTGATGCAGCGACTCCAGCATATATGTCAACAGCTACAACAATATATTGGTGAAAAAGCTCAGGAAAATGGACTGGGTATTTTACTAATCTATGGCACAATAGGAAGGAGATGACAATGCATAGAACTGGATTGGTTGTACTAGAAACTAGCAAAATACATACCCGGAAGATTGAATTCATGAATCAGTGGAAATGCTAAACCAAAATTCCTCTCAGCAAGAGTCTCTGCAATCACGCACCTCCTCCTGCAGCAAAAGGCATGCCCAATAACCTCAATAAACCAAGCAATAATGAAACTGTGAACAATATAAGAGACAACATTAGTAATAATTCAAACCTGAATGTTTCAGGGTCATTTGGATTCCCAAATAGAGAATGCTTCCATCGTGGTCCCTCAGAATCATTAAAGCATTTTACGACATCGAGCTGTGAATAAAAAAGAGCAGGCAACAGCTTACGACTCATTCAAAAAGTATAATCTATGCCGTCACAACTACAATTTACAACAATATGCAATGATTTTGAGTGCTGAGTTTTACATCATGTACTACAAGCAAAATCTTAATTAATAACAAATTCAAGAAGAAAAATAAGTTTGCCAATCATCACAATCTTAGTGTTACTATGCCCTATTATGTCATTAATATACAACTTTCAGTCGGTCAAAACTAAGTAAACAAGGAATTACACTCGAAACCAAGGAGAGATTGAAGAGCAATATATCTCATACTATTCTTCTAAGATGCATTCATTATATTCTCTAAACAAACAAATACAATTTCTAAAAATTTACCAATGCAACATTATCAACTCCTCAGTTTACTTTAGGTCTAAAGTTTGTTGAGGTTAGTTTCATACTATGCCCACCATTCCTCAGACAAGCCCACAATATTCCTGTGAAATACGGAGTATTTCAAAGATTAAGGCTAGCCGGATTGCAACTGGATTGCAAGAGCCACTCCCCGCCATGGAAGCAAAAGCAAGAGAGAAGAAAACCAGAAGGAGAGATTGGAAGTGCTCTAATATGTACAGACTACGGAGTATAACATAGTTTACTGTAAACACGCAGTCGGTTGTACACATGTACACAAAGAAGAAACTACACCAACAAAACAAGCAAAGAGGAGAAAACAAAAGTAAAAAAGAACACATAATGAACAACAACATTACCCCAGTGCCCCAAAGGCTTCTGCCCATTGCAGGGTGGGGGGGGGGGTCGGATGTACTCAGCCTAACATCCTATATTTAAAACATAGTGGATGTTTCCAGATGACCCATGATGAGTGTCAAAAGTTGCCTTGACTAGCTGCTACTTCACTACTGAAAGAAATGCAGACACTTTAAAGAGCCATTTTGCTTTATTCCATCATACCCGAAAGCCAAGAAAGAGTGAACCTTTGGCTCCATCAGAGATGATGATGATAAAAAGAACACATAATGAATAGATAGAAATTAGGTTCATCAACCACTACCACTTCTATATTCTAATTCTATGTTTCAAGCTATGAAGTGTGGAGCATACCATGGTCAAAGCTTGCTACAAAAGACCAATCATAGAAAATGAAATAAGTTGGATGGAGTATAACTTCATGCATCCTCCATGGATAGTCTACATTGGAGGGAATATCACATGTGCAATTTCAAATACACTTATGTTACAATTATCTATCTTTGCCCGTGTTAAAGGAATTGTCTCCTAAACTAGAGTTTGTGAGAAGGTTATAGTGTGAATAGAGTTTGTTAAACATTGACAAATGTGTCTTGCCTTTCAAGAGTAAAATAATTCAGTCAATTTTCAAATTTGTTGAGCTTTTCATAGTGATGTTAGGGGTTTCATATCCGGTTTAACTAAAAAAAAGGTTCTATAATTTTTAAACCTTTGTGGACGGTTATTCTCATTGCACTAGGCTATATTTGATAATGTGTAGAAGTGAAAACTATGGTATCTTGCAGATAAATATTCTCACTGTGAATCACTTAAAATATTTGGGCAGTTAAGCAGTGTAGTAATAGATTTGGGCCACAGATAATTGCTTGTGAGTGTTGTGATCATACTTTGTTTTGCAAGCATACTAGCAATCGTTGCATTCTGACGACAGTAAATGTAGATGATAGCGTCATTAGACTCATTACAAGGATGCTAAAGGAACTGAAGAGCGCAACCTTAAGGCATTTCTCCAAGCCTAATTTCAGACAATGATCTTGGACCGCTAGAGATGTTTTTTTTTGGAAGTGAGGTGTCTCAGTGTAGGAGAGGAATATTGCTTTCAGACAGGAAATATGAGCTAGAGCTGCTAGAGGATACTGGATAATCTGAAGAAAAATCATTTGAAGGTCTTATGAACTATAATGTTACTGACAGCAGGCAAGGGGGAGCTATTTGATGACCCGATGACATATATGAGACTGATTAGAAAGCTTAACTACCTCACCATCATTTGACTACGCATTACGTTCCAAGTTAGCATGGTAAGTCAGCTTGTGGCTTGCCCCCAAAGACAACTAGGAATGCTGAATGCAATGATTAGGATAGTTAAATATGTGAAGAATGCTCGGGGTAAAGAACTTACATATCCAGTGTGCCAATAAACGACATACAAATACTAAGGCATTTCCAATGCTGATTGGGCTGGGCTCCAAAGTGACAGATGATCTACCATTGGAATACTGTACGTTTGTAGGAGGCAACTTGGTTTCTTGGAAAAGTAAGAAACAAGATGTGGTTGCATGATCAGGTGCAGAGTTTGAGTATCGAGATATTGTTCAGACTACTTCTGAATTAATATGGATTTATTACTTGCAGAGAGATACTAAAGTTACAATACACTCCATTGAAAATGTGGCGTGACAATCAAGTGGCCATTCATACTGACAATATTTCAGTTTTTTCATGAGCTGACAAAGCATACTGAAGTGAGTGAGAAGATCCAGTGGGGAATAATTTGCACATCATATATGCCATCAGGAAAGCAACTAGCAAAATTGTTTACAAAGGGACTCACTAATTGTAGAATTGATTATATTTGTTACAAGTTGGGCATGACTAATATCTCTGTTCCAACTTGAGGGGTGTTAGGACTTAGGAAACGTGTCTTAGGGTTCTAGTGGGCCAAACCTAATCAATCTTATGAGTAATAAATTAAAACTTGAAAGATGATTGAATCAATACAATTTATTACTTCAATTGACATAGAAACATTAATCGCTATAATAGTGCAATAGAATCACCTGAATGGAAACCCTAAGAACAAATTTGAGAAGGCCTTCTTCTGAAAGCTTCTCAGCAGCACTTTTCCCTCTTACACCCTTTGAAACAAGCTTAGTAGATACTCCTCCTTTGGATCGCATAGATAGCTCATCGTCAAAATGCATCTATATTAAGAATAGGATCAGAATGAGAATTGCAGTACAAAAAATTAGAGTTATACATACAAAATGTTGGTTAGTAACCCATATTAGAAAGGATATGGATCATTTTCAGGCAGATACATGCATCTTGATGAGATGCCCTGCCTCTCCCTCATGCATTTTTCTTAATGACCAAGGTAGTCTTTCCTTCAAGACTGCTTGTTAGATTAGCTGATCAAAGCCTCAAAAAATATATACCGGCATACCACCATCATGGCTTGCTAATAAGCACCGGTAGAAAGAAAAACTGATATATAAACACGTGCACACAGACACACACACACACACATTATATGTATATATGTATGTGTATGTATATGTATGTGTCTGTGTCATATATATATATATATATATATATATATATATATATATATATATATATATGAGAATAATACATTCCAATGCATTGCACGAGTGGAGGCATTACATTGTGCAGTAACCATCCAAAAAAATCATCATAAGTTCACGGATAGAAAAATGAGCCACTGTTGTAGCTACACAAACAGATCGATCAAACAAGCTGCTGAGAGGATGCTATAGTTGAATAACGTAAAAACAGTAAACAGTGCACCATAATTGTTTACGAAGCTCGGAGCAAAATCTTCTACATCTGCGTGGCCCACGTCCGTGTAATGTCCTTTCACTAAATCTTAGAAGTAGGTTACGCCGGTTAATAAAAATGTGCTGAGACACACTTCTCCAAATTGTTATTACAAAACCTCGATACTAAGACTTCTATCTCGAACCCTGTTCAACTGCTTCTTGGCTATCACACCTTCACCAAGGTCTTCAAAGAAGTGTTCGCAATCCTAGTTCCAGAACCAACTTCACAAATCTGGACCGTAGCTTGTAGATTTGGACTGCAGCTTGCGTTATTCACTCCTTTGACGTAAAGGCTATCCCCAGGGGTATATTGGACAAATTATGCCTAAAAAACAGATCACTTTTTGTTGCCGGAATTTGCAATCACCCTCGCAAATAGTAGCTTGCCGCCAGTGAAGAAAGCATGGGTTGTGCACCGCTGAAGCTTGCGGTACTGAGGTGACCAACACGTCGCCGGTGAAGAAATACTCTGGAGCTGTCTGCGCAGCTGGAGACCGGCACTGGATCACGTCGCGAAGATATCCAGGTCGCGCCTCCCTTTAGTTCTCTCGTGTACTATTCTTTTTCCCTAACTTCTTTGTGTGAGACTAGTGGAATGTATAGGCAAACCTTAAACCTTAGCCCAGTAGGATAAGGAGTTCTAGCCCAAAAGTAAATCAAGCAAGATTAGGACTCCAAGTTCAGGCTCTTCCTTTTCATTCTTCAACACACACTTGGTCTATATATTTATCACACAATAAATCATGTTCTTCTAGCACATATCTCTGAAAATCAGTCTTCCAAAATTTTTGGACTTCTAGACGGTTTAAAATTCTGAGATGCTGCAGGTCTACATAAGGTGACGGACAAGATGCTACAACTCTATATTAAAACACCTACAAATAATGCTGAACAAATCTATTCATCTGTCAAAAAATAATGCCAATAACTGAACATATGGAACTAACACACACACACACATAAACACACATATATACATATATATATATACATACATACATATATATATACATACATACATATATACATACATACATATATATATATATACATATATATATATATATATATACATATATACATACATACATACATACATACATACATACATACATATATATATATATATATGTATGTATGTATGTATGTATGTATGTATATATATATTCAAGATTGGAGAGATAAATCCCAAAAAAAGGGTTTCTTCCAAATCATAAAGATGCCATCAGACAAGCCTTCAAATCTGGGCCAGAAAAAGGACCCTCAAGACCTGCCCATTTGCCTCCTCTTCAAACGAACATTTCCCTCCATGTTCCAAATAGTACTTCTAAATCCTCTACCCCTAATCTGAATCATACAGATAACACCTCTTCAGACCCCTCACCACCACTGAAATCCACCAATAACCTTCCAAACACTACACCTCAACGAGGGTGACTCTAACACGAAGTTTTTCATGCAGCTTGCAAGGCCAGGTGGAGGAAACAAACTCTCAGCTCGATTACTAGAGATGATGGCTCTACGACATCAAGCCGCGACGAAATCCTCCAGGAAGGTGTTAACCATTTTGCCAAGCTATTCAGCCTCCACCAAACTAAAAATATTCCATATCACAGCTAATATCCTCTCTCTGGTCTCAGCCGATAAAATATCGGCCTCTGCTCTCTCCTTACGTTGGAAGAAGTGGGCAATACTATCTGGGACCTAGACCCTAACAGTGCAGCAGGAGAGGATGGCTTCAATGGTTTCTTCTTCAGAAGCTGCTGGGAAATAAACAAATATGACAAGTGGAGCGCAGCTCAATAATTCTTCCTATCCATACCAATGCCAAGAAGCTCAATAAGTCCCTGATCACTCTCATTCCCAAGGTGAATTACCCTATAACCTTCAGTGACTTCCGTCTCATCTCCCTTACAAACTTTGTTGCCAAAATCAATTCCAAAATCTTAGCCACCAGATTGTCCATTGTTCTTCCCCGATTGATCTCTCAAGAGCAAGGGGGATTCATGACAGAAAGAGATATCTCCAAGGCCTTTGATACCATCTCCTGGAACTTTTTAGAGCATGTTCTTTAAAGCTTAAACTCTTAACTACCAGTTTCTTCTAGTTCTTCTAGCTCATTCCAGTTTTGTCCAACTATTCTCATTTTCTTCAAACTCTTTCTACTCCCCAAACAATTACTTTAAAAACGATGTATTTTTAATGTGATTATTATCATTTTTACTATTTTTAGTATTATCTTCATTATAATTACTATTATCATTATTACAACTATTAAGTTCATAACTATAGTTTATAAATTATTTCATTTTTTTATTTTTTCCATGTCACTAATTTTACGATTCACACTCTTCTAAATTGATACGAGGAAGACATTTTTCAAATTTTTATTAAAAATTTTTAAAGTTAAAATATTTTAGAGGCCAAAATAAGAGTTACAATGTCAATCATGAAAGAAAAAAATATCACACCTTCCAACAAGCGTGTGGTCTTCAACTTAACTTGAACAAATGCGCCTTCTACACAGCCAAAAGCTGGCACCACTCAAAGGTCTAAGGTTATCTGAATCCTTGGAATGACTCAAAGGTCCCTCCCCTTCATCTATTTGGGAGTGGCTCACTTCCAGCGCATCAACCGCCTTCTGTATTGAGCTGACCTGATTGCCAAGTTTGACAAAAAGCTCAATGGTTGGAAGCAACACGCCCTCTCACAAGCTGGGAGGCTGGCGCTCATAAACTATGTTAAGGGTTTCCATCACCCAGGACCCATTCGTATCACTAAGTAACTCAAGAACTTGCTTGCTTTGGATCCACTATTTTTCTCTAGGCGGTTAATGAGCCGGCCCTTGAACTTGCTTGCTTTGGATCCACTATTTTTTATCTTAGAACTATTGATAATTTTGCTTCATTACCTTCTATTGTTAAGGGATCTATCCCTCTTGATCTTTTTGTACCTTTCATCCTCAAATCTAATAAAATCTATATTTCCCTATAAACACACACACACAAACACAGATATATATATACATATGTGTGTGTGTGTGTGTGTGTGTGTGTGTGTGTGTGTATATATATATATATATATATATATAGGGATCGACTCCAGTCAAGATGACACCTTACGGTGAGATTACATGATACGGTCAGATGACGCAAACTCACCACTGGCCACTGCAAAGCTCACCAATGACAACTACAAAGCTCACCAAACTGTAAGGCAAAGCTCACCATATTTTTTCAACACTTTGAATTTTTTTGAAAAAAATAAAATCAAAGGAAGGGGTGCTGACTAAATTTTGACTGTTGACCGCCACCTTTAACTGCGCCACCACACCTCTGCTGCCTGCCGCCGCTGCCGGTCACCGGATGCCGGTCACCGCCCTGCCGCTGCCGGCACCCGCCGCCACCGGTCGCCGGACACCACTGCTGACCGGTTGTTGACTGGTTGCTATTTTATTTTTAATTAATTTTTAAATTTTTAAAGTTTTTTAAAAACGTGAGTTTTGGTGTTCAAAGTGGTGAGCTTTGCTTTGGCCATTGGTGAGCTTTGCAATGTAATGTGGTGAGCTTGGTGTCATCTCACCGAAGCATGTTATCTCACCGTAAAGTGTCATCTAACTGAAGTCAATCCCATATATATATATATATGTGTGTGTGTGTGTGTGTGTGTGTGTGTGTGTGTGTATAGAGAGAGAGAGCCAATCACAAGTAAAAAGGTGTATAAACTCAGGTGTCCAGAATGTGACTAACCTTGGCATGTTCCAAATGTTTTATAGCTTCCTCTTGAGAAGATGAGTTCATAAACAACTGAATAGAGCAAAGCCCAGCAGCTATATGGTCTTTCTTGATTACCTGAGTAGTTTTTAATCATTCGTAAACCAAATGAAGCATTTTAAGTGAAAGATCCCGAAAAAATAGGAGCTAAAAGTGAGGTCGCTTCTAAATTAAGATTTCACTTGTACTTGGTCATTGTAATGCTAAGGGGAAACACTGAAGGTATTAAAGCAGCGAATGAGATTTTGCCCAAGTTGGTAAAAGAAGCTATAAAAGTATTAAAACAATATATCATCATCACTCATCAGTACTAGAAGACACAAGGATAGGTCAGCTATGGTATAGGCCATACCTTGTGGGTGAGTGTATGGATGACATGCCATTAAGCACTACTTTCATCTTTTTTGAAATATTAGTTTGTTCAGGGTAATGTTATAATCACAGGTAGGGAGGAAAAGATTTATAAAAAAGTTTCAAAGAGTCAAAAAGAATTTACGGAAGAAAAAAAAGTTTTCCTACCAAACCAGAGGGAACAATGTGCTCTTGCTTTTAGTGTTAGTGTAAGACTTCCTCCATCCCATAAAATTATTTTAAAATTTGTATTCAGGCTTTGTTTGTAATGTAAATCGAATGCTTTATTTTCAACTCGACTGCTAGAGCAAATGCTTAATTTCTAACAGAGATACAATGTTCGGTAAGGTCCACCAATTTCCGCTAAACTGAAAAGTTCAGTAGACATATAGTACACCATTGTAGTAGAATTTTTTGTTGGAAAATTATGTCACTGATTGTTGGAAAAATGCTCAAGTGGGTGGGATCAATGAACCACAACCCACTATGAGATACTACACAATGATCAGCTCTGAGTAGCTGTAAGACATACTACTTGCCTCACAATAACTTCATTTTATGTGTTTCTTCAAAAATTAATTAGCCATATAACAAACTTAATGGTCAAAAAATACCATGCAAAAATAAGAGTTCTTTAAAAAGGAATGAGTAGTTGTTACAAATTAAAAAGTGGGCTAATTCTTTAATAATCATCAAGTATATTTGCTGGGCGAAATTTAATGTTGTTGAATTGTTTCTTAGAGTAGAGGAGATTTTAGGTAAACGCGAGTGAGAATAATGTCAATGCTACTGTAAATTAAATTATTAAAAATTGAATTTATAAACTAATTTAAATAATTTTAATAGGACAATAATGCCATGTGGGATGTCATTTAGCTAATAGAACATGGCAAAGCTCGGCATGCCATGTAGTACTTAAAACTGAAATGGATGAAAAACTTAATGGAAGTATAAAAATGATATGAATTCTGAAGTTTGGGACTAATATGTTAGAAGTTTTTTGTTCGAGGACCTAAAGATATGAGAGAAAAGTTTAAGGACCAAATATGCATTTAACCATTTTCATAAATTGGGGCCATTCAATTGAAGAAACTGTGCTTCATGAGACAAGTCGGCAACATTTGGCAACGCAAAAACAGAATACAGCATGCAAATAAAGTTTCCTGATTAGAGTATGATGTGTATTAGTAAAAGCAGAAAATGAAAAGAAATTTATTATACCTGAAACTTGTATAGATAGTTGAAGTGCTTATATGTCTCACAATAATTACAAATGCGGGCAAGTGCGGCAACAGTGTGCTCATGTACTAAAGAGTCTAGTGATGCACTCTTCGAGGTTCTTTCAGACAATACCTCCTCCAGTACAGGCATGGCCCCATAAGCAATGCAAAGATCACACAAAACATCAAGATTGCCATAATCGGTTGCCAGTTGATCTTGTCTTTGAGGAGAAGTAGAGGAAGTGACACCCGAAGATGGCTGGGGTGGTGGAGGAAAAGAAGAGGGAGGGAAAAATAACAAGCAAGCTTCCTTGTAATGTCCATGCCTAAACATGAAATCAAGCAAATGCTGACGAGCATACTGCATGGTTTACTATATATTAGTAAAGGAGCAGAAGCATAACATTCACACTCCGTATCAAATAGCTTGTTTGTCAATAGAAACGAGCACCAAAGTCTATGGTTTGTGTATGTATACATTTATATCATGTTAATATCTTGTTAGGATCAGGATTGTTTCTTCTATATGATGGTCATTAACTTTTTTTTGTTTATTAGTTCCTATGTAAATGAATAGCCCCTCGATTATGGTTCTTACATAACTATAGCAAAAAGGAATGATCAGTATAAACAACAACAATAGAACACATAATTATCCACATAGTCAAAAGCATGCCTGAGGCACAACAGGCAGCACCTTACCAACGAAAAAAGACTTCGCAGATACTGCTGATCATGTTGTGAAATTTATATTACACCACATAGAAAAGCCTAAGTTATTAGCAAGAAATGTTTTTCATTACAATACTCTGTATAGGCTTCCGTTGTCTAGTACACAGAAGTAAGGTGTGTGCAAACCCCCCTACTTCAGTAGAGAGGCTGTTTCAAAGAGACCCCCAACTCGATGGAAGATAACATGAAACAAAAAATCAGAACAAGAAAACTCAATAAAATGGATATGTTATCTAACACATGACATAAAGATGTAGTATTTGAACTTACTTCTTGAAAATAATTTACACACTCAATATATCTAACACTATCCAAGTTGCTATGAGGCCCATCTTCAATGTCGGCGTCATACGCAGCAGAATCATTTGATGCTTCATGTGATCGCCTGGATCTTTCAGAACGTGGAGATGTAGATGGCATGTACAGAATGTTAAGATAGGAATCAGCAGAAAGAGAATCATCCAGAATTGCGGGTGCGCTTCTAGCTAAATGCTCATACCTGAAAATTATTTGAAACATCGATGTCATAAACATCCTCAGATTTCACAAACGTGAAAAGAAGCTATTATCTGCTTCATGTTATGGTAACATTTATTAAACAGTGTACTCTAAAAAAACAGGCAAACAGTACAGCACTCATCATCGTAAGTAATCCTTGCGAGGATAAGTATTTTCAGGTTTTAACACTCAAAGAAATTTTAAGAATAAAGAGCATATTATCATTATGTCTGGATGAGATTCTCTGCCTTCATTCACTGTCCGGGAGAAGTCAGATCCTCATTTCCAGTGGAAAGAATTTTTCTTGCAAAGAAACGTAGAAAATAAGAATAAAGGGGGAGTGAGAGAGTGGAAGGGTAATCCTGCCTTCTCAATGTAACGATGTTTCCGTTTATAGAAATGGGAACTTTTCTTTGTAACAACCCAAAAAGAAAGATGGGAGCACTAATTTGGGACGGAAGGAGTAATGTCTCTGCCATGTCATAATATAACAAGAGCAAACAAAATATAATCCATAGACCCACAGAATAACTTCTATTTTATATTTTTAATGTATAGAATTTTTGGAAGGGTTTTTTTTACAGAGACTACACACAGATCAATGGCAGACCATCTAATAATCTCCTAGTGACAACATCAATATTTCATTTATCATTCAATATATTATTCATTTCTAAAAGGTGTGGTTGAGACTACATGTGGTGACACCATTTCTTGTGCTAAAGTTATTAGATGTGTACAATTTTCTTATCATTTGCGTCAGGCATATAAATCATATAATTTCATATGGCACAGGAGCCAGTCAATCCGGTCTTTTCTGGTAATCCTGAAAACTCCTTTAGTTTTTCCATGTTACCGTAAAGTACTGATTTCTCATGCAAAATGTTTTCTGTCAAAGCCACCCACAAACTGTTGCCTCCATTTTCCTCAGTCATAGGTGACACCACACACCAGAGCACAACACCATCAGAGCTGGCACTAGACCTGGAAAATTTGACCTGGCCCGTTTTTAACCCGAAACCCGACCCAAAATTAGCGGGTTTTGAATACGGATTTTGCGACCCAAACCCGAAGACCCGTTAAAATTTCAAGCCAGGTTGGACCCGACGGATTGAGGCTTTAAAACTTACTCCATAAATGTTTAACAATTTATAATATCATCACATCCGCTAGCCGCACTTAAAACCTTATCCCGTGGTGTTCGGCATTCCTAACGGGTATCACTCCCTAAGAATCTCCGACTTCTCCGTCTCTCGGTTTCTCTTAATATCTTCCATTCTCTTCCGTTGTTTTTCACAATCAACCCGTCACACAGAGCATCCTCTCAGTCCTCCTCTGATGCGGACTTAATCAATATGGTGAGAAGACACAAGAACAATAATGGAATTCCTAAACCTATCTCATCTTCTTAGTTGGGTGTGCAGGTAACTCAAGTTTTAATTCTCTTCTTCTTTTTTTTTGGTATATTGCAATTCTTTTTGTTTTAGTGCAATTTTTTTGGTATGTTGCAAGAATCTGTTTTTTTATTATGTACAGCCTTTTTTTATGTTGCAACATGCAAGAATCTGCAAATACTTTACATACTATTTTTTTGAGTATGCCGCAAGAATGAAGAAGCTGAACTTTTTTGGTATACTGCACTTTTTTTTGGTATACTATAAGAATCTGTACATTTTTCGTATACTACTATTTTTTTGTATGTTGCAAGAATCTACAATTTTTGTTGGCATGCTGCAATTTTTTTGTACACTACATAATTGTATGTATTTTTATAGGACTCTTTTATTCTTTTCATTTAGTATATAATAAAATTTATGAGTTTAATTTTTTTATCATACAGGAACTACTGCAAGAACTGAAGAGTCTTCTCAAAATTGAAAAAGAAAATGGGCTTCACCAATTTGGAACGAGTATAATGTTTTTGATGGAGATCAAATTCCAGATGGTCAAGACAAAGCTATTTGCAAGTATTGTACAGGAGGACCAGCTTTTGCAAATTCTAAGAATGGTACAACTAATTTTAAACGCCATACGGAAAATTGTCATGCCCGTGTCGCTAATGATGTTGGTCAATTACTGTTAAACAAAAAGGCTAACTTGACTAAAAAAATTAGACCAAGGCACATACAAAGAGTTGGTAGCACTAAGTATTACGGAGTATAAGACATGGTTATAGCTTTTGTTTTGTAGAGCATCCGGGAAATAGGGCAATACAGCTAAGAATTATTGTTTGAAGATTCATGAGAGAGAAAGATTAAAACTTAAAAAAGTCTTGAGTGAAATTGATGGTAAAATATGCTTCACTTCAGATATGTGGTCATCAATGGTGGGACAAGATTATCTTAGCTTGACAGCTCACTTTATTGATGATAATTGGAATTTACAAAACAAGATTCTTAGCTTTTGTCATGTGCCACCTCCACACAATCACACAATGTTGATGCCATTCATGATAAGCTTTTAAGTCTTCTTAAGATGTGGGGATTTCATAAGAAAGTCTTTTCCATGATGCTAGATAATGCGAAGTACAATGACAACATGAAAGGTCTTTTCTCAAAGTCTCTCAATTTATTCTCATTTGCCTACTAATGGTCTCTCAATTTATTCTCATTTGCCTGCCAATGGTGACTATTTTCATGTTTGTTGTGTTGGTCATATAATGAATTTGATTGTTAAAGAGGGTCTTACTGTTATTGATACTTCCATGCGTACACTTAGATACTGTATAGAATACGTTACTGCTTTTTAGGTTCGTGAGCTGAAACTTGAGGATTGTGCTAATAGTTTTGGTGTGGATACTTCAAGAAGTGTGTGGTTAGATTGTCCTACTAGGTGAAATTCAACTTTAAAGATACTTGATAGAGCACTCCCGTACCGTTTTGTTTTTTTGGTGTTAAAAGGATGGAACGTGATGCACCGCAGTTCCAAAAGATGAAGAATGGGTAAGTATTGAAAGGATCCATGAACTTTTGAAGCCAATTGATGAAATTACTACACAATTTTCTGAAAAATACTATCCCACAACAAATAAGTATTTGTTGAATGCGTGGATAATCCAATGTTTTTTAAAGAGACATTAAGATGATATACTAGAGACAGACATGTGCATAAGAGAGATGGTAAAGAAGATGAAAGTGAATTTCGATAAGTATTGGGAATGTTATAGCATGATACTTTCATTTGCAGCAATATTAGATCCTTGATATAAACTTTAATTTGTGAGGTTTTGTTTCGCAACTTTAGATCATACGACTGAAGCATCAAAGATGAAAGATGTGAAGGAGGGACTTTTAAAACTATTTAGTGAGTATTCAACAGTTCATTTCTCAACCAATGTGATTCAAATTTAAGGAAGACCTCGGCAGATCTTGAGGTATATTTATAATTTCATTTCATATATATTTAGAAATTCATTATAATACTCCATAATATTTATGTTCAAATTGTTCATTCCTGATTTTTACACTTTAAATTTATATTCACATCTTTTAGTTTTTTATATTCATTTCTCTTTTGAAATTTGTATGTAGGTGTTAGGGGTAAACCGGGGGTCTTATCAAGTTGATAATTTAGTGGCGGATGTGCGGAGGAAAATGGAAGGGAAATAGTGGGCGAAAGTATGGAGGGTGTTTTAGGAGTTCTTTTTTGGTATTTTATGGAAGAAAAAGAATAGGATTAAGAAGGAGAAATGGAGGGATATGAAATGGAAGAAATATCACGGATGGATAAAACCAAGTTGGTGTTAGGAGATATTACACACTCTTATCCTAACTTGGGGTTTGAATCTAGAATTCAATTAAGATATTACACACTTAATCAAATATCTAGAACCTAAAACTCACACTTAAGATAACCACTCTTAAGATATAGAATTAGGAATTTGGCTAAAATAGCATCACACTATTTTAATAATACTCAAAGAGTAAATGGTTTTCAATATTCAAAGATGTGTTACAATGGCCATATGGCCTGAGTTATATAGGGAGAGGGGAAGGGGAAAATAAATAATACATTGGATGTGAACATGAGGAAGCTTCCTAGCAACATCCACTTCCAAAGTATGGGGTAACACTCATTGAATCCTGTCTCCAAAGTGGGATAAAATTCAGGGATGGGGCTGGGGTTGTGGGGGTTTTGAGCTTTGGTTTGTAGTGGTTGGTTCCTGGGTTTTAAGGCTATTATTTGGGTAAAAATGAGGGGTTGTGTTTGGCCAATAAAAGGGGACAGGGCTGGGCAATATTAGGGGTGGTTTTGGACATATGGGTTTGGGTTATTTGTGGGGGAACATGGGCAGGGATTAGTGGTTTGTGGTGGGTCAGGATTTTGGCTCTTTGAATGGTTTTGTTCTTTGTTTTGAAGGATGCATTGATTACTTAATCTCTAAATGGAAAAAATTTTAATTTTTAAATACGTTTAACCCACTGGATCAACCCAAACCCGAAGTGACCCGAACCCGAAATAACTCAAACCCAATAGTACCTAACCCGAACCAAACCTGACCGACTGTTTTGCCAGGTCTAGCTGGCACACACCACAAACTTTGACTAAGCATTCTGACATGCCACAATTGTTATGGGACTAGTAAAAATATTTTCAACTTTTCAAATCAGACGTAAGAGAGAAAAATATAGAAGATTGGCAAAAGATGATATATGCACAAATTAGACCTGACAAATCTGTCTGTTAAGTCAGGTTCAGGTTTGGTTCCTTTGGGTTTGTGTTATTCCAGGTTCAAGTAATAGGGGTAAGTTTGAGTTTGGGTTGAGAACTGCATGTTCAAGATCTAATGTCTTCGGGTACAAGTGGTGGACCCAACGGGTTATGTGTTGTATTTTTAAAATACTTAAATTTATACTAGCACTTGCAATTTGCAATAAAAAAATAATGAAAGATATATGTTACATCTATTAGAATATTTTAACTTGAATTTTAATTTTTTTACAAGAATATTATAAATACAACCTAGTAGCACCCCACAAAAGTAGGGTTTTGGGAAAGTGTGTGTATGGAGACCTTACCCTTACTCAAAAGTAGAGAGGTTGTTTCTAAGAGACCCCCGACTCAAGCATCACATAGGCACAGACCATGAACACATAAGCAAAGAGCAAAGGATAAAGTACATGACTTAATGAATCGATCAAGTCCATGAAAACATAGGCACAGGCCATGAAAACATACCTTAATGAATTGGTCAAGTCGAGTTCAAGTTTGATTGGGTTTGACCCAACTTTAGTGGGTCATTTAAGGTTCAGTCATCTTTGGGTTCGATTAACAAAATCTTTATTCGAAACGCACTATTTTTTAAAATTGGTCGGGTCAATTTTTGTCAAGTTTACACACAATTGATATTATACTACGAATCTTTCACAGGTGAACATTTATAATGCATAGAAAATATATCTTACATTGACCGCGCGGATGAAACATCGGCAGGTGGGCTTCCTTCAATTGTATTTATAATCTCCAAAATCACACTTGCATGATCACCTTTGTGTAACTGAAGAGCTTGTCTATACATTATGAGCTAAGCAGTAAGGCACAATCATTTCAAAAATAAGAAACTATTCTATTGTACGATACCATTTTGCTATTATCTTTGTTAAGCATGAGAGCATAAAAACTCTTTTTGGAAGGAAAAAAAATCATACTTGAATTTTACTCGAGCTTGTGCATAATGCTCCATCCGAATTAGAGCATGGCCCCATGCATTCCACACAGGAAAAACATCAATCTGGTAGTAGCAATGAAGCATCACGTAAATTAAACTATATACTTTCTCTATAAGACTATAACACGGGTTAAAACTGCATAACAGGCAATATTTTGGGTACCTTGCACTTCTTGGATGTGTATACAGCCATACTATACTTTTCGTCTAAAATAAGTCTGTTTCGAAGATGTTCTGATGATTCTTTATCACCAATATCATCAAGGGACACAGCTATTCCAGAACCAAGAAGGCTCTGCATCAATTCAGCACGTCCTAGCCAAATCTCAACTTGTGCTAGTGCTTCTGATAAATCATCTGTTGATTGACTACCCACACTAGAGCTGCCAGCATCAGAAGATGAATCATCAGCATCTCTACTTCTCTCAACGCTAACTGACATGTCATTAGCCCCTGCAAGCTTCCTTAGCAATGATTTTGCAAAGAGAAGACCCTACAAGAGCATTATTGAAGAATTATCTCCGCATACCATGAATATTCATTAATGTAAAAAAGTCTCAAAGGAATACAAAGTATACACCTGCACAAAACATTCTGTCAAATGATATGCTCGACCAATAGTTTCCATAGATGCGTTTTCAGGTACTTGTTTAGAGGTTAACACATTTTTCATCTGATTGACACACAAGTCAAGAGCTGCTTTGGCTGATGCCCTCTCATCCAAACAAAGTGAAAGAAGTGCCTTCAATACAAAGTGCAAGAATGAGAGTCAAAATGAGATACCGTTCACCTCTACTTCTACAACTAACATGCAAGGGAACAATTAATGATTCTTTTAGGATTTGCGAGCTCTTAAAAAACTAGCACACATAGGCAGGCCATGCTTACCTTCAGCAGTCATCTGCTCAAGATATGCCGGCAATAACAAACTGATTTCCGGAGTCATTATTAATGCATTAAACCCCAAATATAACCCATTATTCAAAGTGGTCATAGCAATCTGAATGAAGAGTGGTAAGAGGTCGATGCGCTGCAATATTATCCGCCATGGTTGTTTGCCCTCGTCTTCATATTGTGGCCAACTTCTTATTTCACAAATTCCTCGTGAAGTTCTTCTGTTTTCTCGTGTTGTCATTGCTAAAGTTGCAAGTTGGAAGTAGAAGTGTTGACAGTGGTGGAACGGGCTTTCAAAGCAGCCACGTCTACTTTGAGTGCAGTCATGGATTGTAAACGTGAGGCTATCAAAGGTAGTTGCGAGGATAAAGGGTCATAAGAGGTGGTCAGTGAAGGACATGTGTTTGTACTTTAAGGCCTTGTTCTTTTGAGTTGGAATTTCAGAGTTGGATGTTGGAAGAAACTGGAAGGAATTGAAAAAAACTGGAAGGAGTTGGAAAATGTTGGAAGAGTTAAAGAGCCATTCAATTAAATGATCATCCAAATAAATATGTAAGAAAATTCTAATTTTAGATAAAAAAGAATTCATCCTTGTCTGTGTTTGAGGTGGTATATTATAATTTTGAATATACAATGTTATTGTATATTTAGCATATATAAATACTTTTTTATGTCATTGTTGGAAGAAACTGGAAGGAGTTGGAAGGAACTAACAGGAGTTGAAAGTTGATTTTTCCAACCCAAAAGAATAGGGCCTTAATTGTAGGGTTATGGCATGGTGGAGATGGAAGATACGGGATATTGCAAGTGGAGTGGACCATCTTAATTTTTGAACATAACCAAAATGTTAAATACGAAAAATGGACAGGTTGAATTGAAACTCAAATTGCAATTAAACGGTTAATTGGAGAGGGACCAGTTCTCCAACAAATGTGCTTCGAGAGGAGCAAATCTCCTCGACAAAATATTAGTTCAATCATTATCTCTTGATATAAAAGAGAGACTACCTATACTAATTATTAGTACCTAAGATAATGGAACTAATGCTTCAACTATTTCAGGCTCTGACAATGGAAGTAACATTGTGAAATTTTAGAAGACTCCTAATTTTCCTCAATAAGTAGTAGATCAACTAATATGCTGAGCTGTTGAGATTCCTCCCCTATGAAGACTAGTCTGGCTATCTAATAGACAGATGGTATAACAATTCTAGGAAATGGATCTTGAATCTTGATTTGTGAAAACTCGATATCTTAAGAAGGACAAGAAACAAAGTGTAGTTGCTAATTTGCTATATCATGTGCTAAAGAAAAATATTGTGCAATGGCTCGTGCAACATGCGAGATCTTATGACTTAAGCATCTCCTTCAAAAATTAAATTATGGAAGCAAAGAACAAGTATACTTAACGTGTGATAATCAAGAATCAATACATATGGAATACAACTCACTATGTGACAAGAGGACTATGGGCAATCTGAAAGATTTATAACTTGTTGGATGACAAGTTGTGAGGATGTGCTATTGAACTAGAGAGAAGTTGGGAAAAGTATCTACCACTGATGGAGTCTGCTTAAAATAACAGCTACCACAAGAGTATTCCAATGGCTCCGCATGAGGCATTGTACGGTAGGAAATGCGGAACATGAGTTTGTTGGACCAAACTCAGTGAAAGATAGCTTGTTGGACTTGACGTTGTTAATGAAACTGAAGAAAATTCAAGTTAAATCAGAGCAATCAGCTTTCCAACATCTTACCACAATCTCTTAAAGATCATAAAATAAAATACATTTGTAACAAGCTTGGTTCACATTATTTATTTGCTCAAGCTTGATGGGGTGTGGAAAATAGACTAACTTTAAGAAAAGTAAGACGGCTCGTAGAGTTGGTCGGTGTGGAAAATAAATTAACTTTAGGAAACGACAGCTTTTAGAGTAGGGAATTACCTCATTGCGTTGATCATTGATTAGGTGATGCTGGCATCATCACTTACATCAACAACAACAACAACAACCCAGTTAAATCCCACAAGAGTAGGGTCTGGCAGACCTTGCCCCTACTCGAAAGTAGAGAGGCTGTTTCCAAAGAGACCCCCGGCTCAACGTCGAAAGTTGCATTGCTTGACTAACTGCTACTTCATTAATTAAAGAAGCGCAGACAGTTTAGAGATCCATTTTGATTTATTCCATCACAACCCAAAGCCAAAAATTGGTGAAATTTTGGCTCCATCGGAGATGGAGTGTAAAAATTGGCATCATCACTTACATCATCATGAAATAATTGTATTAACATAAAAATTGGCATTTGTGCAAATCAGTCTATGATGAATAATTACTGATTACACTTTCACAACTTTCTTTGAGAGATGAAAATAGTTTGTGTACATTAAAGTATCCCATGTGCCCTAATGTGCTAAATAAACCGTAGAAGACAATACAGAATATTTTGTATTCTGGTGTATGCTGTGACTGCAGTATGATAGCTAACATATTGGAGCTGCAAAATTCAGCTATCCTACACGCATATTCTGTAAATCCAACAAGATATCTGATAAAAAAATATACCTTAAAGAGATTAATATCAGGAGCACTTTCATAACGATGACTGGAACGAATAGCTTCATCCTTCTTTATATCACCTGTGAGCATCCACTCCTCTGCAATAGTAGCAGTAGCAAGTCGCTCTTGCCCTTCTACAGAAAAAGAAGGCACATGGTCTTCCTGAATACCAGTCATTTCCTCCCAAGACACTCTGTCAGGTTGCATTAACCCAGATGTCTTTCTCTTCCTGTATGTATCTTTAGGAGCAGATTTATCTCCATTATTGCGGGGAGCCCAAGAAAAAGCCCTTCTAGCCTCTTTTTGCAAGTTACTTAGGCTACTTGAAAAGGATGACCGCATAGGTGTTCCTGTTTTTTTCTGCCTTGGCCTTTGACCAGTAACTAAAACTCGGTGCTCCCTAGAAGGTGTACTGATGCTGACAGCAATAGCTTTGGCAGCATATGTGATAATTACACTGTCTTTCAACAAAGGAAACTCTTTAAGAATCTGCAGATAATTAAATAATAAACCAATTAGATGCAGTTAATAAATCATAAAGGAGAAATATTATGGCGGATAACTGTAAATGAACAATTTAAAGTCTGTTTATTACCACAGAAGCAGACTGAAGTTGTTTCCTCATCAACAAAACTTCAAGAATCAAATGGGGGTGCTCATGCAAGGAAGAGCACCTTTGCTGCCATGGTATAGGCAGGGCTGTCAAGACACGAAGACCTAAAGCCCATGAGTTGAGCCTAGAGACTTCCGCCTCAGATAAATTATTATCCTTACTCTTCAGAAAAAAGTGAACCTGCAGAGATCAAATAAATAAGACTACTCAGATAAGTTGAAAATACAACAACAACAACAACAACAACCCAGTTGAAAATGCAAGCGAGAAATTAAAAGGGTATGGACGATTACAAGAAGATGTTTTGATCGAAGGTTTGGCAAAAGCTGCATTGCACTCATTGCAACTGGTAAAGCATCAGCAGTGTCACGTAGAGAAGAAAGAAACCGTGATGCTTCTGCAGGACCTCCACCATTTAAAGGATCTGCAGTCAAGAGCTTCACAAGTTGGCGACCCTGTAATTCTCTCCGAAGTTCAATAGAAAGACCTTCACTTTCAGCAACTTCTAGAGCAGCAGAAACAGCTCCTTTCTCAGCTAATTTAAGTGCAAGGCCCTCGGGATCATCTTTACAATGTGTCTCAACCTGATACAGCCAGCAGAGTTGCATACAATAGCGGAAGACAAAAGTCTCTGCAAAGCTGAATATTTTTTCATTTATTTTCCATGCTAAGAAACTGATTGGAAAATAAAGCAGGATTATTACCTGCTGCCAACTACTGTAGCGGTCATCAGCACATAATATATGCTTGAACCTAAAGAGGGCTCGCCTCATTTGCTCAACCTTTGTGTGGAGCAGTATGCAAAAAAGAGAGAATATAAGTGAGTAAATGTGTGTTACCAATGACCAATCACGTCACAATTGGAAGTGAATCTGGGGTCTATTATTTGTATTATTATATCATAAACCCAGAGCAACAAAACTTCTGAAATAATATGTATGTATATTTCTCGATATTAGAATGAAGACTCATACATATATTTATAGTACACAAAGGAAGATGATGTGCAATGAAAAGAAAAAGTTTCTAGCATTCAAGATACAATAAACAGAGGTAGATTGTCTACCGATTGGGAAAACAGTCTGATTGGAATCACAATATACAATAGTGTTATTATGGCCTCTCTCTTCATATAGTAGTCACTTCTTTGGTGTTTCCTTGATGGATCTAAAGACTCGTATAGCAGCATGCCAGCATCTCAATGACCATAACATGCTAATTTGTTGTTCCTAAAGAGACTAAAGTACGTTCTACACAATCAAATGCATATTTCATGAAGCTTATCCATATACTCCCTCCGTCCAAAAATTATGTTCCCGTTGCGCATTACGATGTTTGACTGAGTTTATTTTCAAATCATTTTATATGAAAAATGGTGTAGAATTTAAAAATAAAATTATATATTTAAAAACTACATCAAGAGATCTAAAAACTAGAGGTGGCATAGCTATATTATTTTATAAAATAAGCAACGAAAATAGGCCAACAAAGTGAATAAAGTTTGACCATGTGAATAGTGAACAGGCAGATAATTTTCGGACAGAGGGAGTATATCGAGACAAAGGATAAGATAAAGTTGAATATCAGATTGTCTAATTCTAAAAACCAAGATCTATACAAGAAAAAGTTTTAAATATACACCACTCGCAACGCTACCTCATTTTTTAAAGGATCTGTATCAAGCAAGTGGCAATTGCACATAGTAAGAACATCCAAAGCAGCATCTAGCTCCCATTGACGCAAATATCTGAGAAAAGAAACATTATTCCTTGAGAAATGTCAATCGACATTGATATAAACTAAAGAGAAATGTGTCACAACAAAATAAATCAAACTTGTTTAATCTTCTCATCCCAATGAGAAAAGCGATGTGTTTATGGATTCCAAGAAAGATCATCAAAAGATGATAACTAAAATGAAAAAAACAATTAATTTTCTATGTGTAATATAATTAACTCTCTATGTGTCTTGTTATCGGGGATAATTTAAAAATTGAGCAACAACTCAAGTTTGGATCACAATGTTTTATCAACACAAAGGGTGCACTATATATTCATTTGATTGTCTCTCTAACTAACCTATTTAAGCCATATGGCATGTGTAATGACGTTTAGACTCTAGACCAAAGATGTAGCCCTCTCTGTGAATGAGTTCAAGGCCTATCTGTATTTAATATGATGACTAATGAATTTCAAGTACGATGAAGATATGGATATGTCTCACTTTTTTGATCGATTAAAGAGTTGCAACAATAGTATAATACACTAATATATTGAATCTATATCAGATTGTGTTCTTCATATGGATCCGTGTTTAATCACTTACCACTTTCCAGCCATCAAAGTGGATACCTAAGTGGATAGCAACAACTCTTCATCTTGGGTTGCTTTTGTTCTATTGTGATACCATGTGAAACAATGAGGTGCTATGCATTTGTGTATGTTAAGAATGTACACATAGCATGCATACATACACATGCAAAACATGAGGTGGGCATATACTTTAAGATCTCAGGCACTAGCAACTCTCACAAAGCCAATTGGTGTTAAGAGCGTTCAGCACACAAGTGGCCACAACATTTGATTGAGACCTGCCTATATTTAAGAATTAATATTGATGGTGGTTCATTTTATTATGTTTCTTTTAATAAGTTATTTTTTGCGTTGTTGTTGTTGTTGTCTTTTTATTAGAAGTTTTCTTTAAGATATTTGGAGTAGTTTAATATTTCCTTTCTTAAGTTCATTATTTTAATTAGAATTTTAAGCTAAGTAGCAATTTATTTATAGTCATGTAACCTATCATTATTGTTCACTGGAGAATAATAAACATATACTCCCTTTGTCCCAAATTAATTCGCACACATCACTATTCACGGTCAAAATTTTATCAATTTCTTTCTCTTAATTTCATTACTCATTTGAAAAAATAAAATAGAGTTGTTGCCTCTTGTTTAGTAAAACTCTTAGTGTAATATTTGAATATATAAATTTTGTTTTAAAAAATTACCTCAATTTTCATATAAATTGAACTGAAAATAAATTCACTCATCATAATTCGCAACTAGACCTGCACAAACTCGGGCCGGCCCATCCGGCCCAGTCATCCCATCCTTAAAAAAGGGCGGATATGGACAACTATATGAACCCATCCAAGCCGGGCAGGGTCGCAAGATAATATGGACAGGCTTGGGCATTAGGTTTGGATCGCATGTGTCATACATACACACATACATACATGCATGCATGCATGCATGCATGCATACATACATACATACATACATACATACATACATACATACATACATACATACATACATACATACCTGTCTGAATCCAAATATATACATATATATTATCTTCCTTCTTTCCTATTTGCGTTGTCCAAAAATTTTCTTCATCTTTCGTTTTACACTATGTTTGGTTCAAGGAATTTGATAGAGAAAAGAAAAGAAAATGAGAATGAAAACATTTTTTTGGTTGGTTAGAGTGGAAAAGGAAAGAAACCTGAAAGGAAAAGAAAATGAGAAGGCAAAATGTACTAAGAGGAGGGAAAATCAAATTCCTCTCATTTTGGTGAGAAAAATTAGAGAGAGAGAGCTATTTTCTTTTCCTGTCAAATTCCTTGAACCAAACATAGTGTTAAGGAAACGAATATGTGATTCCTATCAAGTCTCTTTCCTCTACGCAAAGCAGAGCCACCCACATTCCACTTTATTAAAAATTGTGTCAAGCCAAACCTGGAAAATAATTCTAGGACATAGGGAGTAATATGGACTATACAATTTTTTCCTTGAAAAGAAAATGGAAGAAAATGGAGATACCCCAAATACGAAAGTAGGAATATAATTATGGGATGGAGGGAGTATATCAAGAGAACATAAAAAGAAGTGTGAGAGAACAAGCATGTAGTGCTGGTGTACAACTCTAACCAAACCCCCCTTATGGGCTTTGTAGCAAGAAATGATGAATTCTTTTATGGTGTTGTTGGGAACTTGAATTTGGATTTCAAATATGGATTTGATCCAAATTACATGTTTGGGAACTCAAAGAGTTTGTATTTGGATTTGGATTGGAGCAAATTTTTCTAATTCAAAATTAACCCAATGACAAATCTACACCTCTCCCCATGTCATTTACAAATTCAAGCTCAACTTTTCTTTATTTTATAACTTATAATCAAAGAGTGATCTTCCCTTATGCAACAACAATTCTATACATATCAACCCGCTTCCGTTACCGTCTTTGCCGACACCAAAATTCAAATTCTAGAATTAAAATTCTATGACTTCCCAAACAACATTTGGAATTTAAAATTATGGGAATTCAAATACTGGGATTGAAATCTAAGATTTCGAATAAATTCTAGTTCCCAAACACTACCTTAAAGAAAAGACCTTGGCACAAAAGTCGTGTTTAGCATAAAGTCGCAACAAAGTTTCAAAGCTATTCTTTAGTGTCCAAATGCTAAAAGACCCACTAGAATTCTATCAAGAGAAAAAGGAACTTTAAGGGTAATAGCAAATAAAAAAAGACTAGCCCATAAGTAAAATTGAGATACCAGCTCTAGACCATTCAAGAAAAGAATGTTTGAATCTGTCCGTTAACCACGATTTAAAAAAAAAAAACTTTACATGAGTACTCATTAGCTATGGTTAAGCACTGATCTTACACATAATTTGACCAACCCCATACAGATTAGGTTTATGAATGGAAACAAATATATAAAAGGGTGTGTACGCACACACAAACCCTAGTTCTTAATAAGAAATATACTTTCCTTTATATGGTCAATCAAACACCATCTGATGTAAAAAAAGAGTCATACTGTTGTAATAAATTACTCCATTCGTCCCCCTAAGATCTTCTCATTTTGACTTTTTGTGGTTTTTAAGGAGAGTTGAAAAAAGGTGAAAGTTTACCATAATACTCTTAATGAAAATGGATGGAGTGTATTAAATGAGGTAGGTGAGGCGTAATAAATAAAGTGAGGGTAGTTATGGTATTTTAATTGTTAAAAAAAGGTAATGAGAAGATCTATGGACAAATAAAAAGGGCTAATGGGAAGATCTATGGGGGACGGAGGAAGTATTAAAATTGAAGGAAACAAAGTAGGTGTGTGTGTGTCACATGTGTGCAACAACTAAAAGAAGGAAAAAAAGAACGGTGCGTGAATTATGCCTAGGGGAGAAACATAGCAGTAACCGTTTCTGAAAAGGGGCATTTAGTAAAACATACTTGAGGGCAAGTCTAGCTGCCAGATGTTTATCCTTCAACCTTAGACAATACTGCCAACTGTTGCTCCAGGGGTGATTGCCTGAGTAACTTTGAGACTGTCCTGAATTATTTTCTTCTCCATGTTCGAGTAGGAGTTGGAGCAGCCAGTCTGAGGCACCGTTGCGTAAGAAGCGGTCGGAGATAGCAAGAGCATCCATCAACTTTCCCTCCTCAATTAAGCTGTAGCAGATAATAAAAGAAACATTGAATCTATTATATCCACATTTCCAGAAAATGCTCTTTAACATTTTGACACCAGTTAAGAGCTCAATATGTTTGATTGGAGGGGAGAGGAGGAAAAAAGTTTCCCTCCGACAACATTCCGAGGGTGGGGCAGAGGAGAGGAGTGGTGGAGGGAAAGTTTTGGCTACCCCGTCCTCTAAATATTTTGAACAAAATAAGGGGAGGGGATAGAAAAGAAGCTGTGAATTATGAGGCCAAAGAAATATGCAAAATAATTAGCATGTAAACATCACTATGACAACAATAGAGTTTCATTTTTTAGTCTTCATAGAAGTAAAAACTTGAGGGAAAGATGGCAAGTCTAAATCATTTTCACTGTTATAGTATAGAGCTAATCTGTGTCCATTAATCTTGAGCCGGGGTCTTTTGAAACAACTTGTCTACCTATATACGTAGGGATAAGGTCTCCACAAACTCACCCACCACTCAGACCCCACTTGTGGCACTTTACTAGGTATGTTGTTATATTGAAAAGAGTATCATGCTTGGGTTGAAAATGACTACAGTTAGCTCATTGTCAAAACACAGATAAAAAGAACATAAAAAGAAAACCACTAAAATTATCATCAACTGAGAAAAGACAGCAGCAAGGCAGAACATACTGTTCAACAGCTTTTTCGTAAGGACCTTCATTTTCACAGTCAAACGAAAGAAGAACCGAATCACGATCAGCAGGTATAGACTTTGGAGGAATGTCCCACGGATCGGGATGAATGGTTTCCTCGTTATTTACCTCTGAAGATCTTCTTACCATATTATTGCTGTGTGTGTTTTCATCAACTTCTGATTCACTGTCACTTCCATAGTCACGAAGTCTTTTCATAGATGCCCTACTTTTAGGTTCATTGTTACCATGTTTTGAAGCATGGTCAGTCTTCACAGCAAACTCTGACACACTATGAAGGTTGCTTTGCATCTGTATCCAGCGATTCAAGGTAGGAAACCTGTTTATTAAAATTAAGGATCCCATTAAACATTAACATTACATGGAGCGAGGAGCCGAGGACAAACACGGTCAGGTACACACTAACCTCTCGGATTGATCAAGTGCAAATTCATAAAATAATCTATTTGAATCTGATATTTGTATCATGCCAGCATGGAATGATCTAGAAATGGAAGTTACACTTCCATGATGAAGTATGCTGCTACCAAAGACACATGCTAAGACAGCCCTAACTGGGGATAATTTGATTAGATGCTTTATTATATCCAGCTGGAGAGGGTATAAAGGTAGTCCAGTGGTAGATGGTGAACTGCTGATTGTATCAAGCTTAGCCGCCCTTGAAATAGTCGTTGCACTGCTTTCAAAGTCATTATTAGGAAATGTGGGAACCAATGCAACACTAGCCCAACCATGACCATATCTTGGAGGATAAACTGAAGGCACTGACGCAGATATTACTTGATGCACAAAATCAGCAGACATTATTTCTGCTGCTTTTTCAGCTGCATCCGTGCTGCCTCTCTCAAAGACCAAGCGAGTTAAAAGCTGTAGAAAATCATCATGGGAGAACGCAGGATGAGTCACTTACCTACCGAATCACACTGCACCTCCTTTTGAGAGGAGAAAAGCATGGAGTGCACAAAAATCAACACTCAAATACTTCACATCGGTAAAAAGATAAATATAACAAAAACAACAACAACAACAACAAACCTAGTATTATCCTAGTCTGTTGGGGTCTGAGGCTCAAGATGTACGCAACCTTACCCCTGATGCATTAACTGCCAAAAACTTCATAAAAATGTATGCAGTATTATGCAAAGGAAGTATAGCGTGCCATTTTGATTTACTACCAAAAACTTCATAAAAATGTAGGAGTAATATGCAAGGAAAGTATAATGTGGCATATTGGTTTAGGCCATTAACTATCCGAAGCGAAATCAATTTCAAAAATAACTCTTTTAGCTCCATTGGCAATGGAGACATGTAAAAAGATAAATAAATAAGTGCCAAAGAGAAAAGTGTAGTTTGTCCTTAAGTTATAAGTAAATAGTTAAATCATAACCACCATTATATGTATCAATGTTTTTGAACCCCTAAACTAAACTTGGTGGAAGAATTAGTCCCTCTATTGGCGAAGTGTTAAGCTCACCATTTGAGTTTGATATTCCTAATCATCTAGGGGCTAAAAGTGGTAAATTACTGTCAACCAGATCAGTCCTAAGCATAGTGTAGCTTACCTAAATGCGAGGAGATACTAGAGATTCTCTAAACTCAACGTGTAGAGGCAACTAGCATGCTTGTAAGAGTCCAAATAATATTAAAAGAATATAAGGAACCTATTATTAACATATACTCTTAACCAAAAAAAACAATTCAGCATTTCAAATTCACAATAAAATGAAATAACAAGCCACAATAATGAAGTGTAACTCCGCATTAGTAAAAAAGAATATAAATCTATACGAGGAAGGCAAAATATAAATATAATTTCAAATTTGCTAACTCATTTCTTGACTCAATAGTTATGCATTTTGCAAGAGTTTACCAGGGCCTACCATAAAGGAGCTGATAGTTAGTTAATTTGTTAAGTCTACGTAACATTTTAATCATGTGTTTATGACTTAGCTCCAGAATTTCACAACATTGATTAGACATATAAGTGGTTCATGTACCCGTAGTCCTATTCCAAATTAGGTCACATTTGCCATGTATGTCAATTAATAGGATTGAGTACATGTAATTTGACTAACTTGTATGTGAATGCTATTGTTTCTCTATTACATGGTATGAATGATCACCATTGAAGTATTTATTGGGGATTGAGGTTCATTTAAATTAGATATTGCCCCTTGAGAATCTCAAATAGTACAAAGGGAAAGTTGGGAACCATCACTTGACATTGTATTGTTAGTGTAGTTACTAAATCTATGGAAGTCCCTATGATGATGCTTGGCAAACAGCGATTCTTGTATACCCTCGGTCATTTACTTATTAGGTAACCAGATAATAAGAGGTTCACTATTGCATATTGTAGTCTTATAAGTGTTAGATAACAGTGAACTCTAACCCTAATTATTGTTGCGAAATTTATACAGGCCCAGCCATATCTGTGTATCCCGTTGCCCTAACAAGATCTATATGTGTACGCGCACAGGCTTAGTGAAATACAGAGTACAACTGTAGAAGATAAGCCTCTCACGACCTTCTTTACACAGTTCAAGAAAATGTATGAAGAACTCAATATATCGATGCCTTTTAATGCTGATATGAACTAATTAATGGACAACAGAAACAACGAGAGAAGATGGCAGCATGATCTTCGTCTTTTAAACGGGCCAACTCCTTATTAATGTCAGTTCTGAGATACGCCATTATTTCCTACCACCCAAAAACATTAGTACTCGGTATGCTCCATATGTTATTCATCAAGTCACAGAATTAGTTGACCAAAACATAGTGTCACAAAATTAGATGCTATGTCTCTCAAATGTATTTTCTTAGGATACTGTCTCACTGGTACAAAGAGATCTTTCAAATTTTTTAATACTTGCTAATATTAGGTCTCCATTGAAATTACATTCCATGGAAATGATACACTCTTCAGCACCCAATCTCAACCGAAAGGAAGAGGATGGACTTTCTTGTTTATAGTACTACTTACACACCACAGTTGAATGTTTGACCAAATCAGCACCACTAGTCACCGTTTGAGTGACCAACAACGAGAAACAAAATACAGTCCCAACTCTGTTGGGGTTCAGGAGATCAAGATGTGCAATCACACCCCAGTAAAAGCAGAGAATTGGAGAGTTTTCCCTTAATGCATTGCTACACTTACTGCCCAAAACATCATAGAAAGTAGAAGCAAGGGAAGTGCAATGTGCCATTTTTATTTGGTTTAATATTTACCAAAGCAAAAACATTGTCAAAAAAGACTCCTTTAGCTCCAAACCCCTAGACTGAGGGACCTGAAGCAGTGGCATACTGGCATGTATAATTAGGAAACTTTTTCTACTGTTTCCCTATAATTGAAGGGCAAAACCTGGTAATTTCCAAATATAAAAAATAAATGGAGTAATATTTGGAGTGTAACACAATAAGTGTTTTCATTAGGCAATGCCAAATATAAAAAATAAATGGAGTAATAATTGGAGTGTAACACAATAAATGTTCTCATTAGGCAATGCCAAAGGATAATTGAGCTATGTTCTACAAGAGTTTTCAGGTCTATACTAAAATGGGAAAGAAAAATTTTACTACTATTCCATTTCTTTTAATACGCTCTGCAGTCCTCATGCCATTTCACAATCATGCTTGAACTTCCAAAAATGTGTAAAGAAAATTTTAAAACCGTCCAGGCAATAGGAGCAAAATGAAGCTCAACTAAAGCTAGATAGAAGCTGGCTGATTAAGCAGGAGTTTTTCTGCTTCTATCCATCAAGTGCATGTTCAATAAATTAAATATGTACACAAAATGTACCATGGATTTATATACTTACAGGTATCAAGAAAAGATGCAAAAACCTTAAGGAGTGACAATGCAAATGGAAGAATCAAGTATCAACAACTAGAAAAGAAAGAGACTCACATCTTTAGGCCATTCATAAACGAGAGAGAAGTAATTGAAATCATGAGTTGTATCAGTCCCATCAACAATATCACCAATTGCAGCGATGTAGATAACAAATTGTGAGAGATATGTTACGGCCCTGGAGCTTAAAGGCCCAAATAATCTCTTCCCTGTTTCTTTGCAGACATAGTTGTCAGAAAGTACATTACTTTCACTAGTTGGAGAAGTTTGCGATACTGGTTTCGAAGATTTCAAGCCAAGACCTATAATCCCATTTCTGGTACACACTAGAGATCCTTTCCAATCAGAATATGAGCTCTCTCCTTTGAAGTTATCTCTTTCTGTTTCTTCTTCAGCAACTGCTCTTGCAAGATTATGAAGCTTACCTGAACTCAAAATATTGGGCACATATATTCTTTGTTAGCACTTAACAAATACACAAGAAAAGGGTTAATAACTTACCACTAAGAAACTGCCTTTTCCCAAAATGAGCATCTTCAATCATTTGATGAAGCATAACAAGAGCGCGTTCTCGATGCGCTTTCTGGTTACACTCCTTTGAGGATAGAAGGAGCACCTCTCCTGATAAAATGGCCTGAAGATCGGAGGACTTATCCTGAAATAGAATACCGTCACCCAAGTATTCTGTCTATTACCATGGAAATCTATTAGCTAGCAGGTAAATTTAGAGAAATACATAATATTGTATGACAAGCCAAACAACATAGCCTAAGAAATTTAGAGAATGGGAGGCTAATAGGTGAGTTTTGCAAGTGACCATACCTGAGATTTTATAGGAAAAAACACAAAACTACTTTGTTTAATCAATTTGCAGTTAAAAAATGAATGTTTTTCAATAATGGAAGAAGTTAAATAAAAACGCCACCATGATCCACCCCAACCACTTATCAAAGTTATTTTCAGTATTGGCTCAGTTCTAGGGGGCACTTTGCACAGCTTTAGAATACCCTCCAGACCACAACAACAAAAAATCAACCCTGCACATCCCACCACATGGTGATATAACATACTCCCTCCGACTTTGAATAAACTTTACACTTTCCTTTCTTGTAAGTCTACAAAAGTAAAAATCAACTATACATTTCTCCACTTTCTCTTTTAGAAAAAAATTACCTCTTTAATTATTTTCTCTCTTTCATATAAATTTCAACCACACAACTTTCACTGTTAACCAAACATCTTTCACTTTCAACACTTTTCTTAAACTCCGTGAAGTCAGACCTTAAGGTTCTTTCAAAGACGGAGGGAGTAATATTTAATATTTTAGTATTAACAAGATTATAATAAAAAAGATTTGGCATTGGTAATTATTGAACTAAAATTTAGGGGTTAGAAAGTGGAATTTAATTTGATGCCCCTATAATTGTTGCAAATTTTGATATCCCATTTTCCCTTGTATAGCAGGGCCACCGTGCTCTTCCTCCCTCTTTAGGCATATTACCCGTCTTGGAAATGGTGTTAAACAACTCAGTTAGCCACATATCCCTACTCTCCCAACAGACTTCCAAAACTCTGCTGGGATCTCATCTAATACCATCGAGTAGCCAACACCTGAAATGATGACAATGAGAACACCTCCACTACCAAACACAAAACACCTCTCCACTTTAGGACTCATAAGGTTATGGAAGACTGCCATCTCCACTGTCTCACATTGGTTTTGGTTGTCAGCTCCATCAACACCCTACCATCCACATCCTTCACTGTCTCACTTGATCTAAGTCCCGCGCCTTCCTCTGTCTTACGTTAGCAACCTCTAAGAATTCTCTCCCCTCACTTCCCCTCTAAATCCCTATAAATCTGCTAAAAATTACAGTCTTCGCAGCCGACAGTGCAAACTTAGCTTCCTTGCAACCTTACTCCTGTCTCTCTTCACGCACATCTCCTTTTCATCTCCACTCTCCACAAGCTTCTTTCAGAAAACTTTCTTACCCTTAACTTTTCCTTGGATTTCGTTGTTCCACCACACTCCCCTTTACAGGTGGACGGGCTACCCACTGGTGACCTCAAGCACCTCCAAAGCCACTTCCCTGATGCATTATGTGGTTCTAGCCCACATGGTGTTGGCATTGCCACTAGACACCCAAGCACCCCTTGCATGTAACTTCTCCACCAACTCATGATTCTTACCCTCATCCAAGACGCTCCACCGAATATGGGATGGACCAAACAAGCCTCCCCTCTTTCTATCTCATTTGACTGCGGCATCCACCATCAAGAGTTTATGTTTGGTATCAAAATTCTCACTCAGGATTACTTTAGCATCTTTGCAAAGTACTATATCACACTTTAGTAAAACGAAGAGATTGATTTGTGCTGTCAAAAAAAAAGTGATTGATTTGTGACTTCACCACCCGACTGCCAAAAGTCACCAAGTGGTCCTCTGTCTTCATAAAGCACGAGAGTTAATGATCAACAGGTCACTAGCTCTAGTAGACTCCAACAGACTCCAACAGAGAGACCCCTGCATTCCTATCACCAACTATATTATTTTATAGGTATTAATATAAAAGCATATAATATGAAATAAGTAATTAAAGAGTACATATGTACCCAAAAAAAGAGTAAATATTCTGAAATATATGAATGAATATTGTTTTTAAATAATTAAAATTTAAAATTATATTAAAAAAATAAGTATATTTTTTACACAAGTTAGTAAGTAAGTGGGCTTTTTAAACTTTTTTAAAGTGAAATCAAATTTGGGCCCAACCCTCTTTTAATAAAGAGCTATACTTAATAGGTGCAAAGGCCCACTACACTTTTAATAAACTCAGCCCAAATAAGTTAACCTAAATAACTATGGAGAGTTGAGGGTTTAGACTTGGAAGCCGCTGGATCTCGCGAGTCGCGACACTGAATCAACATCGGCGAGGAAGGTAAACTCGATCTTCAAGTCTCTCTCCCTTTCGTCTTCTTCGGATCTTCTTCTCCTCCTCCGTCCTCTTTCGGGCTTCTTTCATTCATCTTCTTCTCCTGTGTTTCCCCAAAAAAACCTAGGCGAGCAGTTTGGCGTCCATATAACCTCGCCCAGACGCCTAAGCGACGTCTTGATAACTATGTTTGGTGATTGGTAACTCCATTTTCCCTTAGCGGGAGGACCACTTTTTTACTTTTGCTAGCAGAGTGGGGAGGACGCAAATCAACTATTTCCTTCTTTGCAAGTGTGACCGGTGATCTGTAAAAACTCTAAAGTAATCCCGAGTGAGAACCTCACGACCCAACATAAGCTATTGGTAATGTAAGATTACTTATCAAATGTTGACTTTGTAGTTTTAAAAATGCAACAACCCAGTTGGATCCCAACGAAAGTAAGGTCTGGGGAGGATGTGTGTACGCAGACCTTACTCCTACTCGAAAGTAGAGAGGTTGTTTCCAATAGACCCCCGACTCAAGCTGCACAAATAAAAGGATCCCAGGAGATAATAAAGCATTACAGATAATAAAGATCATCAGAGATAACAGGGTAATACAGCAGAGAAAGCACACATACAACACAAATTAAAACAAAGTAAAGTTTATGAAGGAAAAGTACTGCAATAAAAAGCACCAAGCATACAAGGCATACAGAGCATGCGCAAGTACAGAAGACTACCCCCATAACCTGAGGTGCCTACCCAACTCCTGTAAACCTATCTCTCCAAATGCTCATATCTAAGGTCATATCCTCAGTTTGGGCAAGAAGTCTCAAGTCCGGTCTAAGCCCCTCCATCCATTTCTTCTTAGGTCTACCTAGTCCCCTACTCACCCCCACCAAAATAAGCCCCTCGCATCTACGCATTAGGGCGTCAGCATTCCACCGCGTCACATGCCCAAACCACCTCAACCTAGCTTCTCGCAACTTATCTTCCATAGGTGCCATTTCTACCCGACCTCAGATAACCTCGTTCGAAATCCTATCCAACCTTGTCTGCCGACACATTCACTGTAACATCTGCATCTCCGCAGCATGCAGTTGGCAAACGTGGGTTTTCTTATCGACCCAGCACTCCCCCTCATACAACATAGCTGGTTTGACTGCGGACCAGTAGAACATACCTTTCATCCTAGCTGAAATCTTCTATTACACAGCACCCCTGAGGCCAACCTTCACTTAGCCCAAGCCACTCCTTCACGATGCGCAACATCCCCGTCCAACTCCCCATCTACCTGAATCGAGCCTAATTTATTTTAATTAAAAATGCGTATATCAAAATCATCATGGAAACAGCCTCTCTACTTTCGGGTTGGGACCCCAGACCCTACTTTCGTGGGATCAACTGGGTTGTTTTTGTTGCTTATATCAAAATCATGGGAACACCATGGGCTGCACAATATGTTACACCTTAGTGAATGATACTGTTTTGCCTTTCAATATAAACTTACTACAAATCATAATCAGCCAGATCAAGAATTCCAAAACAATAAAACAATGCTTGTGCATAAGTAGAATCTTCTACACGAAGTGCTACCTGCTCAAGTAGTTCCTGTAAATATCTAAGGAGGCGCTTAACTACAGATATCATTGCCATGTCATGAATCTGATCCCAGTATTTTGACCCCATTTCAGGGGAAGTACCAAGATAGATCTCTGAAAGCATAACCTGAGCCTGCAAGAAAATGAAAATGATGTTATAACTAAAATTATACTCCTATATTCTAAAATTCAAATCAAATCCATTATACCAACATCGAAAAGGTCTATGTTCAGAGAGTTCCCAAGGTTGTACCCCTACTGAAAGGACAAGTGATTCAGAGCATTCGTATATTAGGAATAACTGATATTCTCTCAGAGCTTCACAAGCCAACGCAACATTGGGATAAAGAAATGATGCGAGATACAGATCTCGGTATAGAAAAGGGAGTACTTAATGAAAAGCAGGAAAACTGCAGGAAAAGTCACTACCTAGCAAATCAAATGCATGTTTTTAAGATGAAAAAAAACAATGAGATAAAAAAACAATCATCATGCCCAATTGGGAGGATGCACGAATGAATTAACAAAACAGTAGGGGTAAATGAAAAATAAATTTAAAAAGCGCAAATCTGCAGTTGCTCCCCCCAGCCCCTCCCGCTCAAAAATGTATGCGGACATTAAACTGTAAATTAACATGCTACAACTGCAAATACAAGATATATCAACCAGTTCTTTGAAAGCCATCCAAGAAGTCCAATTCCAGAGAAAAAAAAGAAGCTCAGACTGAATAGGAAAATTTCTTTGAAGGAAGAGCATGATTTAGCATTGCTTTTTACAATTTCCCAAAAGAAAAAGGAAAAACACAAGACTTCTGAACAATAAAGTAAAATCAATACAGAGAATTGAACTTCCAGTTTTTTTTCTCCAAAAGAGTAACTAAAGATACCAAATACACTTTAATTTGACATTACATATTTTGATAAAAAACATAAATCTGGAATCGCCTAACTCGTGCCCTCACAGTCCAATGTCACTAATGCCATTGCCCAGTTAGTGAGCCCAATCCCAAAGAACAATACCAAATCCAGACAGCCCCATCACAGTGATATGAACCAGAAAGAGATGTTTACATTGTTATTTGAAACAAAATGTGTCTAATTGGATGAATAATTGTTTCCAATGTCAGGGATGACTGTGGAGTGTTGGTACACTTAAATGGGCTTTAGCCATATGAAACCCGGTCCAAAGGAATGGGTTGAAAAAAATGCGGGCTTGCATAGAAATAGTATTTGGATCATTTTTCACTCATACGAAGCCTGATTGAGATGACTGAATGACTCAAAATTCCTCAGAATTCTAAGAGACACCACTATAAGTCTATAAAGTTTGTGTTTTAAGCTTTCGTGGATTTTGATATTTTCATGGCCAAAACATTCATCCAAGTTGATGCATGTGCACGTGATTTCTAAGTGGAGTATTATATTAAGAATGTTCATTGATTTTTGCCAACCTGATTATCAATATACTTCCAAGTAAGATTACCATCCTTTTGTTTTGATGATCATATTAAATGAATATTTACATGAGAAATCTTCACACTTGGTTGGATTCATCAAATGAGATTTCGAGGAAGATCTATGAACATAACCGCATATGTCTTCATTTGGTGGTTAAGGAGACAATCTACATTTATCAAAGATTATGAGTGATATATTTCAGTTATGTTGTGTTGTATATAAATTGTTGTTGGCAGACAATAATATTTGGAAAAATAAGTTTTAGATATTTTAAAGTTTTGTAGGAGTCGATTACATTATTATATATTTTAAAATAATGTATTTTATTTATAGTTTGAAATTTTGTGTAATCTTAGCCTATAAATATGGTCATTCTCCTTCATTGTACTATCTTGAGTATGAATATATTTGAGTGTTAGGCTCTGTTCGTTTAGGTTGTAAAAACAAAGTTGGATGCTCGAAGAAACTGGAAAAAGTTGGAAGAAACTGAAAGAAGTTGGAAGAAACTCGAAGGAGTTGGAAAAAACTTGGAGTTGGGAAATGTTGAAAATAATAGTGTTAAAAATCACTCAATTAAATAATCACCCATATAAATATGTAAGAAAACTAATTTTGGATAAAATAAAATTCATTTTTTTCCGTGTTTGAGGTGGTATGTTCTAAATTTGGATATATGATGTTATTGTATACTCATCATATGTAAATACACTTTTTAGTTGTTGGAAGAAACTGAAAGGAGTTGGAAGAAACTCAAAGAATTTGAAAGAAAATGGAAGGAGTTTGAAAAAGTTAGAAGTTAACTTTTACAACCTAAATGAACAAACCCTTAATGTGTTATACTTGACCCTTTGGATTGTGAGAATTGTGGGAGTTTCAAATACATTGTGAGTTTACTGACGTATAAATACTTATCTTAATTAAGTATAACAATCATCCCTTTTGTGTTGCTACTGCATATTTCATAGAAGTGAGAAAGTTACCATTTGTTTATTCTTGGAAATCATAGGACAGAAGTATCACCTGGCGGTGATCCTTTAATGACTATTCCAATGTTGGGTGAACAAAAGAAGATTAGGTCATTAATGTCTAAGTGTTACGATCCATTTTGGGTAGAATTCTTACCCTTCAAAACTTTTAATTCCTATATTCTTACCCTTTTGGCCCAAGTATTCCCTAGAGCACAGGATAAGTAAAGGACAAGCATCCGCCTTTTAATTCCTCTTAGTTTCCAAATAAATTCCTAAATAAGGTCAACATCTCTTTGTTTTTCACATTGGCTGAATAGCATGTGTCTTTTACTCCTACTTAGAAGTCTTAGCTTCTTCCCACCTCGCATAGAAAATAGACTAAGAAATGCTCACATAATTAATCCTTGGTTTGACTCTTGCGTGCTAGGGCTGAACCATGTAAAAATAGAAAATCCCAGACAGCAAATGGTCTACAGGAAATATTCTAATATTTTGCCGTAATTGTCAACATATCTAATCAGCCATTTAATCCATCATGTGCAGCGCCCTTGTTTTACCCATACTCAAGGATGAAAGTAAGGCAATTTCTACATGTAATAAGTATTGCATATGAATAGTAAGTAGTAACATGTGCAGAAAATGTTCATGAACTCCATATAATAAGCATGAATGTCTATCCCATCCTCATTTTAGTTAGATCTTATTTCATCTTCAATGATCAGAGCCTTTGTCTTGTATATTAGACCTTTAAATACACAGCCTTGTATATAATCCAGAAACTGAAACAGCCTCCCCAGACCCTACTTTCGTAGGATTTAACTGGTTTGTTGTTGTTGTTGTACTACGGGGTATGTATTTTACTCTTTGAGTGAAATCTAAGATAGCGTGATGTTACTTTATCCAAAACCCTAAATTTTAATTAGAAGTAATTCTTAATTAAATTCTAGAGTAAACTCCAAGTGAGATTTGAGTGCCTGTATCTCGTATGTCAGCTTAGTTTATACTTTATCAACAAAATCCCTAAGAATATTTTTGTTTCTCAAACTTCTTGCACAATTCTAATCACCAACTACCCCCACATATAACAAGGTAGTATCGCACCACTGCACCAGTCGCCCAGTCGCACCCATCCCCAACCCCAGTTACACTCCATCACTGCCCACTCACCCATAGTCTCATAGAAGTAGCCCAAAACATGAGAAATATCAAAGAAGACTAGAGATGATACGCAATTGATACTCCATCGCCACCTAGTGACCCCAATCTTAGAGAAATCCATGGATACATAAAAGATTATCTTCAAAGATGAAGAAGGCCATCCCAGATGAGTTTCTCTTTGTCACCCAATGGATGCCTTAGCCTAGAAGTCTAGCGATTCTGCAACACAGCAGTCTAATAGTGTTAACAATCTCCTTGCTTTTATACAACTGATACAAGACAGGCAAATACTACATCATATGGAGCGGAGGAATAAGGTTAGAACTCGGAGCCTCTTAAATCATACGGAGCAATGCCCAACATTAGCCAAAAAGCAGGCAGACACAAAGGCCAGAAATGATTTGGGGGATAGGAATACTTTGACCGCCATAAAATGAAACATGGAAGAATAAAAATTTCCCCCTGTTGTCTAGAACAAGAAATCGCTCAATCAAAAAATGGAGCTCTGAAACTACATTTTAATGATTAGTTAATTTTTGGTTTTTAGGAAAATGCATTACCTAGATTTTGAAAGTAAAATTTTACAATCATTAGGAACAGATAGTAAATATCACAGAACTACTCGTGACATGTATAGTTACCTCATTTAAAAGTTTCAGACATATGGTCTGGCACTTTGCCGACGTTGCAGCTACATCAATGCATGACAAAATCTGAAAGTATAACAATGGATATCATGATATAACATAGATTAATCATGAGAAAAGACTCTGAAGGGTACTTAGAGAAATGGGATCACAGTCAGTCAAAATAGGCTTACAGCATGCAAAGGGCCTAACTGAGCACGTAAAGAAGAAAAGTCTAATTGCTGGACAGCAGAATATACATCAGCAGCACGGGTTACAGCATCCTCCACCTGAAAAAATAATGAAAACAGTTACCAAACAAATTACTAAATTCCCACTAAAAAGGTCATCTTGTACTTCCTATCGATCAATAAGGACACATATTGAAAGGTATCAATGGTCACCACCCATGCACACCACAGTGAAAACAGAAAAGGGTATTCCACAAATGTCCAAATAAGTTAAGCCTCTCTAAAGAATAAAAAAAAGTTAAGCCTCTCTAGAAATATATAATCCATCATCCCATAAAAAGGTTTCAAATTGACCACCATTACTAAAAAACTGATAATTGTGTGATTGAAGTTATGCACATGAGAAAGAAATAATTAGTCTCACTTTTCTTTCCTTAAAAGAAAGAAGAATCTTATTTTGGGATAGAGAGAATGTAGCGAGCCTTTGGGGGAGCACTCTCGGGCATGGGATAATAAGGGGATACCAAGTGCTTGAGATATTTACTTCAAAAGCTAGGCAATATTAATGATGCATAAATCCGGGATAACAAGACAATGTTACATATTTATTGATTCCATTATAGCATGTGAGCCTCGCTCAGAGCTGCACTCCTTTAATATGATGAGAACCTGTCATCTTTTCCATACCAAACCTAATTTACTTCTACATCTCTTTTGGTGTGTATAGCTCAATTGGTAGAGCATTGGGCTTATATCTTAATGGATGTGTGTGTGTGTTTTACATGTTTCAACATAAAACATTAAACATCACATATTATCAAGATTCGCTATGTATGATCTACTAGTTAACAATTCAAACAAAAGTATATAAGGAACATACAGATGCTCTTTTGACGGTACCATCTACCCATTCAAGTAATGCTAGTGTAGCTTTGTCTTCTGGAGGTAAAGAGAAACGTTTAACAGCTTCCCCTCCAATGTCAAACTTTGCCCTCTGCATACAACTGTCACAATGAATAAATATACAAAATAAATAGATTAAAGCAATAAAGTTAATCATTCAACTGTGATGCATGGAATAGGTGTGATTGCAGATAAATATTAGCAACCCCTCCCATGAAACACGAGCATGGACATGAGGAGGGTTGTGACAGACACGAGGGGCTACAAATGTAGTAGACGAAGGATGAGGAAGCGGGCAGTAGTATATCATTATTATTCTTACACACAGGAATTACTGGATGCGGCAAACATGAAATAAACAAGCAATTATGTGGTTTATCAATCCTTAATATAGACAAGACAACATATGCTATTATCACAACGTGAATACTTATAGACCAAATACTGATTCAGTTGATACCACTAATCAGGATAAACCATCAAGTGCATCAACAAAGGTTTTATCCTGTTATAATAAGAATAGGGGAACAATGAAGGGTAGCAGAAACAATAGCACTCACAGATTCAGCAGCTTTGAAGGTGCTGCATGTAACACTGCTAGAACTTCCTTCCATTTCCATTTCCGATCAGACGATGGCAGTAGGCATTGCAGAATAGACAACCGCCATCTCCAATCTTCAATAAAATGCCTGGCATTCAAGATTAGCCACCCAAGGGCTTCTTTTCCACCAGATGATATATTCTCATTGCAGTAATTCTCCTCTGATGATGCTATATTGTGTTGTAATATATCAAGTAATTGCCCAATAAACAATACAACTGTCTCATTCACTGACTCTCTAACTGCATTGTCCAAATTGCTGCTTCTGAGAGTAGTGGGCAGTTCAGATGAACTCCTCGATGAGGTAGAAGTTTCTGAACCGAGAGAGAGATCAGCCATATGAAGAGTGGAGATGATAGTGTTCACCATAAATATCTGCATTGTTATTTTGGAAAAAAGAACATGTCACATTAATGTATGAGGCTGTGAATTTTGGTAATTCCACCATGCTGACACGCTGGCAAACATAGAATGAACCCCCTAAAAATAGTGCAAATATGAAATACTCTCTTTATCCCAAAATAGAAGTCCACATAGACCGGACACATAGTTTAAGAAAAGTATTGAAAAGCCAAAAGTGTGTTGTTGGAATTGATTTGAAAGAGAGAAATAATAATGGCCACATTTTCCTTTCCAAAAAAAGAAATAGACTTGTTTTGGGACGGAAAAAAAAGAAAGTGTGTTGTTTATTTTGGAATAGATGGTGAATAATAATTGTCATGGTGGCTTTTTTTAACGCATTTCTGAATTATGACCAATAACAACTAATAGGAGTACATTGTAATAATGTATTGTAAGGAGTCGTAAAGTGTAAAAATGCAGCATGTAATATTCGAGTAGATTTTGTGCTATTAAGTAACAGTGAAATATAGATTCCCAAATGAAAACTAACTGCAAAGGAGAAGATAGCATTTGGTGTTCTATTAGAATTCTAGACTCCAGCAATAACCACCCAAGTCTTAAACTAATGTGTGCTCCTAGTTGGGTAAAGAGAATAATTACAGCAAATTAGTTGCAAAAACAAAATTCTAAAAATAAAAATAAAGAAATTGGCATGTGTTTGTGTGTGTAGGTTTGTCAAGCAAATATCCAAAACCAAGCACAGCTACTCAACTAGTATGTCCCACTTAGAAGTAGGGTCTAGGGTGGGTGAGATGCATGCAGACCTTACCCCTACCTCGATGTGTAAAGAGGTTGTTTCCGTGAAAACCCCTAGCTAAGGGAAATTTTGGGGAGGTAAAATTGCAAAATCCTGAAAAGTTTTGACAATTTCAAAGATATTTGTAAATTTTTAGCAGTAGAAAACACATATTAGGCTCTGTTTGGAAACCAAGAAAATGACTTCTGGAAGTCATTTTCCTCATCTCACGGTGTTTGGCAAGACAGGAAAAAAGAAGTCAAAGGAAAAATGACCATTGGTCAAGATCTGGGTTTCTTTGTTCCACGTAGCCCCATGTTTCTTTACTTTCAGATATGAGTTTTCTTTTGTTGTTTTATTCATTAAGAATTTTATGGGTATGATTTTGATGATTAAGAAGTGTATCTTTCAAGTTTGATGGCTATGGAATTGCAGTACTAGAGTATGTCTTCTTGAAGTGTTTTTTCCAGTTTTTTGGCTACAAAGTTGCATTATTTTTTTATGGATGTTTTTTTTTATGATTTTTTGGATGGATGTGTTAAATTTTCTAAATATTCCTATAATGTTATTTATTCATTTTTTGGACATTCATTATCAAATATCCATTCTACAGAAAATGAGTCAAAAAGAAATAGACAGTTTTATGATTTCTAGCCAAACAACGAAAAAGAAAAATGACTTCTAGAAAATAGCTCATTTTCCCGAGGTCACTTCCCACAAGTCACCTTCTCGGTTTCCAAACGGAGCCTAGAAGTGAAATGTAATGTGAACAGTAGGATACTGTTTAGACAAAAAAGACATGCAAGAAAGTAACAAAACAACATCAAAAGCTCAGTACACTAATAGTGTAGAGAAATGATAAACATATAACCTTTCTGGGAATACTGTTGATGGCATCAAGATGGCTCTTCACATCTCTCAAATGGCACATATCAGTGCCCTCCTTTACGTCTCCTACATGTATATTTTTTTCCATGGCCACCAGAGCAAGAACAGCAGATTCCATGGCATATCTCATGTGCATAAGTTCAATATCTTGCACCCTAACATCCATAAAAGTAAAGGGGAAAAGGAAACTATTTTGTGAGCTAACCTTTCTCCAAATGGTTGAAGCTTTAAAGGTTACATTTCACACCTTTGAGGGAATGAGAGCAAGAGCCATGTGTAAACATTGGCAATAAATTACAGAAAATAGAAGACAACAAATAAATAACTCCATGCATCTATCAGAACTTTACATTTAGAAACTGCATAAAATGTGAAACTAGCAACAGATAACTTACAGCAGCCTAGAAAGGGGACAAAAGCAAAACAGGGTATCAAATTATCAATAGTAGTATGAGTAGTCATGCAAAGATGAGAGCACAGTCAAACTCTTGGAAAATATAGTAACACTATTAATGCAGATGGTGTTTCGGGAAATCCTTATAATTTCTACTGACATGTCCGCAACAAAGAAAACAAAACTAAATAGATCAAACCACAAGATTAAAAAAAAGATCAACCCACAACAAAAAGCAGTGTTCCTAAGTTTTTGTCATTGATCATTACAGAATAAGCTAGCTACCGCACCTCTTCCAGGCTGCTAGTGTTGAAGTGATGGGCTGCATGCTGATCAGCTCTATCGCATCTTGAAATTTAATTCTTGGAACAACATCAAACAATACCTATACAGACACTTACAATTAGAATCCACGCTAGCAGAAAGAAATATGTAGTAAAATAAATGAAGTCTGTCAACAAATACTGAATATATGCATGGAGACCTCTTCGTAAAATTAACAATTTGAAATAAACATGTTTGTGTCTTTTGAACTGAGATTCAACAGACCCCGCAACTAAAACAGTTCCAAGTTGTGCTGTGCCAATAATAGTAAGTTCAAATTTCATCAATGCACCTTCAAGCAATGCTTGAAGTAAGAAGAGATGAATTCAGCCCATGGATATGTTCCTAAAATTAGGAGAGACCGAGAGACCAACTATTTTGTTCTCCTGTTTCATTTATTTATAAAAAAAAACATCCTTCACTTAAAGTTATGGAAGGTAATTCTACTCTGCTTTATTCATGTTTCAGAAAAGCCACTCACCGCCATAAAAGGAGAAAAGAAGTATAAAAACAACACAAAATTAGTTTTCACTGAAATACTCTTTTTACACACACTCGCACACAATTGCACACAAATATTATGCTCAGGATAGTGGTACGGTCATACCCGAAGTGGACTCTGCACGGATAATCTTTCTAGCACAAAGTTTTCAACAAATGGATCCCATTTAATGCTTTCTCTTTCTTTATCTGATTGTTCATTCCCGTACGAAAGTAAGGATGATTTCAAACTCCAGGATTGACCGGAATTAACAGACACAACAAAAGAAGCAAGATCAAGCTGGTAACATAATAAATCACAAAGATGTTCAACACACGACGCCTGCCAAAACGAGGTTAACTGTTAATCTAAAAATGATGGCTACTATTAAGGGCCAATCATAAAAACCTGACTACACTACAACTGCGAATTTCTAAGCACGTACCTCATTTAATTTTGAACTATAATGAAGAGAGTCGTGCAAAAAAAAATCTTGTGATTTGCTAGTCCATAGTACTTGCATCAGTTTTCTCCTCAACATTGTTTTACCAGACAACAAGTCCCAACCAAGAACAGCTACCAGAGGTTGAAGTCGGGGAAACAAAAAGAGAACCTACCATGAAATCAATGAGCCAAAATAATGAGACATTACCAGGAAGTTAAAAGGAAACGATGAGCTAATTTGAGGCATCATAACATTTAATCCTACTAGAGTCTGATTATCTCCATAGATTTGCTAAAATAACATCACTTTTTTAACATGCATATTTAAATTTACAATAAGTACATTTCTAGCTTCTTGGAGTTCCCCATTGCGCACAAAAGATAATGCAGTATCCATGACACATTCCAGCACATGCAAGCCACTAACACGGGCAAAATGGTAAGTTTCCCTCAAGCATGCACTCGTAGCGATACTCAATAATCTTTCCGTTTCACCTGAACCAGTGTCCGGTTTCAGTTCTTTTACAAAATTCTGAAGGCGCAGAAGGGGGAGAGTAATGTGTTCACTGCGAGATCTCAAACTATCCATATCCACAAAGAGCAACTCATCTTGAATAGCCTGTTTACACAATGTATCAACCACAGATATCAGAACATTACTAAAATTCAGTACTGGTATTTGCAGTTATTTGCTAATCAGTTGGAAAAGCCTAATTATTTGCTGCAGGATTCTAGTATTTTGTAGCCTAAGAAAAATCATGAGTCTCATCATGATTCATGTAGCCAACTAACTTGAGGTAAAGCTTAGTTCTAGTTGTTGTATAGCCTATAAAAATTAATCTCCTAAATTTTACATACATCAAACTCAAGAAAAATTTTTAGGCAACTGAAAATCATTGTGTAGGAATATCGGAGTAAACTATTAGTAGCATTACTGCTCAGGATGAGGAGATCCAATAAATGAAGGAAATCTAGATTTTCTTTATGCATTCCTAACCAAACTATCTGAATATTTGAGCTATTATTTAGGAGTAGTTAGTGTAGTGTTGACTTTTTGAAAAATGATGTGATGTATGTTTTTCATTGTAGAAAGGAAACTGAAAAGTTAAATGAAACAACAAACTAAGGAGATTGTGCATGAGCACTGAACCGTTGCATTACCAAAACTTGCAAGAAGAAATATTATGGGCACCTGAATCATTTGAACTAGGTGTGCACAACCAGACGAAAGTGCTTCTCCATAAACTGACAAAAGTTTGAATCTGGATGCAAGCCAGGCATCTCTATAATCATCCACCATTGCCAAAACCCTCTTGAGAATATCATGCAAAACCAGGCTACATACACATGAAAGAGAGAACATAAATAGATGTGAAAAAGAGAGAGAACAAAAGCATATGACGCATTGCTTGAACAGTTGAAAAACTTTTTCTTCATATCATGTTGCAACCCAAAAGTACTTGATAGTCATGATGCAGAATCTTTAAGATTGAAGCTTTATATAGTACGGAGTAATCTTTAAGAAGCTTTATCTATTAATCTAGAAGCCAAAAGTACTCTCAATCAAGCCAGAGAGATGCATAGCATTGCTTCAATCTTAAAGAAGCTTTATCTATCGATCTTTAATGATTCAAAGCAAATATTGTACAATCTTGATACAACTGAGTTCAGAAAACCCTAATCCAATACTGGTTAGGGAAAGCTATATGGATTTTATTAATCAAATCTCCATTAAGCTTTCTAATTTCGAGGCCAATCCCATGTTACCTCAATAATTTAGTCAGGCATTTCGGACATAGACAGTTGTATCATTCATCAAGAATAGTGCTTAAGAAGAACATTCATCGACAGAGTGCATTTGAATGTTGTAAGGTAATGACCTTGTATATAACTGATTGAGAGCAAGGCAAAATCCACCAAAGCTAAGGTGAATGATATCATGATTATTCTAGCTAATTTAAAACTCATAACTTGACATCTATTTGCAATTCAGATAGCTTCACAACTATTTATGCTTTACAACACTTTCAAGTTGGGAGCATAGATAATAATTATTTCCAACTTGTTACACAAACAACCAGCCCGAGCTTCATCATGTGTTTTTTAAAAGATATGTCCAAGCTGTTTGCTCATGGGGAAATTAAACCGTGTTGTATCTTTTTCACAAACAAAATGATTATTGACTTCAATATGTTTAATTGAGAGGGAAGGTTAATTGTCGCACCAAAGCTTGCATTTCTGCGAGAATTAGGGGGGTCATTTCTCTGAGCTGTAGCTATTGCAGTTTGTATTAGAATAGCTATTGAGAAAATTCGGGTTGTAGGTGTTTGTATGACTTGTCATCTAAGATTACTTGTAAGGTTATTATAATACAGCTCTAGAACTCGGAATGGGAGAAGGAACGGGGCATAGAGCTTTGAAGTCCATTTTATTTAATAAATTGTATAGCCAAATAATATCACATGCATATTGCTTTATAGCTGCATACTTCAATGCTGCACCTGAGAGGGAGACACCACTTTGTTTTTTTTTCTTTTCATTGATACTAGAGTTCCACCAACACGCACGTAATACTCTAACTAGTAGTGGATCTTTGATCTTTCTTTAAAATATCTACATAACACTCAATTTTAGTTTGCTCAAGGTTTTTATGTTCAATACCACCTTACAAGTTCCTTTCATATGGTGTAAAATTTGTTCTACAACAAACCAACGATCAATTGTTGGAGATGAGTAGATTACATATATTGTATTACAAACCTAGATTGCACATGAGATGTCTCAAAAAGTGACTCTCAGATAATTCAACGTGCTAACCAACGTGCCAAGTGCAAATTGGGAATCATGGGAGCACTAAAGAGATTTGCTCCCAATTTTCCTCGTGGAGATAATATATCAAGTATGATACTTTCTTTGAGTGACTTGTCTGTTTCTTACAAATTGCAAGTGGCTGATGTGACATCTTACTACTTGAACTGTTTTTTCTTATTGAAAGAGGTGACCAAATAGATGTACATACCGCAGCTCCTTCTCCTCCACGCCATAATCCAAATTGAGAAACCTAATATGTGAAACTGCTCCATCCACATCATCCTTTACCAAGCATTCCTTCATAGCATCCAAATGTGAAGTCTGAACACTTCTTTGGATCAATTTTAGCACCTTCTCCTCAGCCTCTTCACTCTTAAGTTCTGACCTCAATGATATACGCATTGCTGAATTTCCATCATCAATCCCACCACTCACCTGTTTTTGAATATTCAAACACAAAGCTTGAAAAACATCAGCATTTTCAAGAAACACCCTCCCTAAAGACATAATTTCCTCCTCATCCAGCACAGTATCACTTGTAGACGTGTCCTCAATCAAATCTGGTCTCAACCTGCTTAGACCCATGTCAGATATCCTTTCTAAAACAGCCAAACAGTTATCTAAATCTAAATTCTCACTATTCATTCCATTTCCTTCGCCAGCCTCTGAGTTCTCCCTCTTCTTGAGGCTGCCTAAAACCCTAGAAGTTACAACTTGCAAATACAACAAAAACTCTGCCCTCAATTTCAGCGCTTCCGCACCAAACGACCAAAGGTTCGACGTAGGTTCTTTGAATTCAAGGAGTTCAAGTGTGCATAGGAAACTAAGTAAAGCCGGGGATGGGCAATAGTGGGAATAAAGGACCGAGTCGAATCGGCCACCCTTAGCGACGATCGTCTGAAGAATGGCCCGAGCAATATCCGGATTTCGTGATCGGAGGCTACGGAGAGTGGCTCGGAATGGTTCGAACTGTGCCAAGAATATGTGATTTACAGACACTTTAGAGAGTAGCTCTGTTTCTTTGTCCTCCATGTCGAATCACGGTGATTGAGAGCGTGTAATATACACTACTATACAGAGGCGCACATATATATATATAAAGAGGAGCAAATAAATAGAGGTCAAAAATGGAGGTTCTGGATCGGTCCTTCCGGAGAGGACGATGAAGAAGGGGATGCGAGGATATGTTGCAGACTTCCAACACAAGTTTTCAAGACAAAACTTTGCACGCTTATTTAAAGAAAAATTTAGTAGCATGCTACATGTACCCAAAATTTGTACCCTATTTGTACATAAAAAATATACACAAATATTTTTATAATTCACACGGATACAAAGTATTCGTGCATTAACAAAAATTTACATTGACACAAAATGATGGTGCGTTAACAAAAATTAGCATTACACCAACACAAAATGTTAGTGCATTCTGTACAAAATCGAGTACAAATTCTTAGGGTACAAATAGCTTTATCCAAAAATTTATGGACGGGGTCGGTTCACATCCTTTATTATAATAAAGGAAACTCGGATGCCTGAGAATGTGACATTTGGCATGCCTATTTGGCAAAAATTTGTACACGTCACCAGCCACGTAAAAGCCACGTAATAATAAAGCCACGTAATAAATAATAATAGTAAGAATAAAAGAAAACAGCGGATCTAAGGAGTTTTATTTTCGCGACAGTCGCGATGGAGATCTGCCGCTGGAGATTTTTCGCAATCAACTCTCCTTTCCATCTATGGTCGCTGGAGAAACGGAAGAAATTGGATGAAGATCTTCCGAGATAATCCCTGTAGATTTTCGAATTCAAGGCTCCTTTCCTTCTATGGTCGCTGGAGAAACGGAAGAAATTGGAGAAACTCTGGGATTCGCTGGGATTCAAAACTCCTTGCCAGAAAAAAATAAAGAAATTGGAGAAATTGCCCCGACATCCCACTATTTCACACACCAATTTCAGTCACATCTTACCACCACTCAAGCAGATTTTGAAAGAGACACACAGAGAGCATGACCCTAAATTTTTAATCCGATGTTGTGAGTGGCGACACATCACGAGCAGAGGTAATGATGGAGGAACATCTATGGCCATCCTCATGCGACACACTTATCCTGGAGCAAGAATTAAACCGAAGAAAGGGCTAATCGAGAAACATCCCATATTCTTCTCAAAAACAGGTATTTTTTTCAGTTTTTCATATTGTTGAAGAAATGAAAGCAGACTTCTAATTGGTACTATTTAAAGATGCACTATGATTGTATTTTTTTTTTAATTTAGATGGAAGGGAGAGAGTTTTACCTTTTTAATTTAGTATGCATTTTCAAGTACGAGCATACTGATTGTTTGGGTTTAAATGATGCTAACTTTCTTGAAGTCATTAGGTCCTTTAATTTATATTGTGTTCTTTACTTTTAGTTTCATTTTCGCAACTTCTGAAAACTATCAAATAAAGATGGAAGAAAGGGTTCCCATGTTGATATATTCTGTTAGCATATGCATTCTAATTGTTTGTTTAAAGATGTGATATTTTCAGTTTGTTTGCTCAAAGATGTGTTTTTTAAATTTATTACAATTTGATGTTATAAACTTTTTATTGTACATACAATTATTTCATTGATTTTTATTTTCTTATTACATGTTCAGGGTATTGAAACTTGAAAGATTTGACAGAGATATAAATGGTTTTGTATTCTATTTTAAATGAATCGAAGGACGTGTTATAAGTTCAATTTTGGAGTTTGATGTCATCCAATCTACCGATAATATAAGCTGCATAGCTCATTTTAGGTCAAGCTTTGCTTCTATAGGACTATGCAAACTCATTACCTTCATTTAAGCTATGGTGATTTTTAGCTATTGTGTTTTTTGGAAATTTCTAATATTACATAGTAGCTTGCACGTACTAAGAAAATTTAAATTAGGTAAGCAATAATATCAATTAAGAACATGTCTCTCCAAGGGTTAAACGGGAGAATATACGAGTTTGGTTGTCAAAATATTATTGTAATTTTGTTGTTGTATCATGGAATGTTCACTCTTCACATCTCTTTGATCTTTTTATTTGTAATGTAAATCAATATGCTTTCAATGATCATTTTCTTACATTTTTATATGCATTAAAATTTTATTATTCTAAACTGTTGTTTAAAATTAATTTTTCATATAAAAACAAAAGGCACTAAATAACTTTGTATCAAGCTGAATTAGAAAAAAATGGTATTTGTACACCATGTTTATCTCATTATTTGACTTTGCACCTTATTCCTTTTTTTCTTACTCTCATGAGTGAGCACCCAAGAGAGGTGCAAAGTCTAACAAATGGGATGCTAAGTGGAATAGAAACTAACAGTTTCCATGACAAAATCTCTTATTTCAGTGTCTGAAACAAATTAACAAAAAGATAAAGAAAGGATGCAAAAGCTTTTGATGCCATTTATAAAATGCTATTTGAAGCTAAAATGGGGTCTTAACTTTCTCTATTTTATGTCCTATTAGTAGTTGTATCGCACTATTGCCTCATAAATAGTAGCCATTTCATTTAGTCTGCTGAGCTTCTCGAGTGTGCCTAAACATTTGGGGTTTTTTTTAAAATCATCAGGCTGCTGTCATTTGCAATCTTTAGCTTGATTAAGTTTGTCCCTAAGGGAGATCTATTAGGATGTTTTGTTTGGAAGATGGCGCATGGACCAACATGTGTGCCCGATATTTTACTTTTTACGGTGAGAATGAGCATATGTGCAAAGAACTTTTCTCTACCCAATTATATCTTCTTGAATAAAAAATAAACTAACTCAAACTATTTTTGCAGCAAAGGTGCAGCAGCGAGCAGAGGTCGCAGAGAATAGAGGGAGTGACTACTGTGACCACCTAGAGCTGAACCAGTGCGGATCTAACTCCAAAATCCAGTAACTTTAGTGTCAACTAAAGTCAACCTAGCTGTGAATCTAATGTCAAAAGAGGTTTGTTATGTCAAATTTCATGCAAATTTTTGTTTCGCATTATTTATGGTTTAGCATATAAAGTGTTTTTTTCCAGCAACTCATGTTGATTGATGGAGTAAGATCTTTGACTTTACAGAGAAATCAAAACGAGAACAACTAAAATCTATGAAGGTAAAAAGGAAAACATAAAATAAGTTGTCCATATATTCAAGTAACTAATGGGGTTTGAGATCTAAATTGTTTAACATTAATCAATATAAATAAAGAAAAGTGTGATACATTTGTTGGCTTTATCAATTATTGATTCACTTATTGTTAGGCGTGTCGTAGCACCTACAAATTAATTTATTCTTTTCCTTTACTTAGTTCCTTCTTGTAAAAATAATATTTATTAAATCTATAGATAGGATAAGTAAGAGTCGATCCCACGAGGAAAGATATTTTTTAGGCTATGAAAATCGGTTTACTTTGTCTCTTTTTATTGAGTGAAAACAACTATCTAAAATCTATAAACTAAATTAAAAGATGGGGGGGTTTGAAAATTGTTTTCTAAATAAAGTAAAAAAACTAACTAAAGTGACACACCACACCAGAACAAATCTCAAAACAAACCAAGGATAAAAACAGAACATAACTCCACCAAAAAGCCCAAACGAAGAAGACAAGCACACATATCACAATAATTTAGAATCTTACACAATTTTAGAAAACCAACAAACTGTTTTATAATATAGAAAATAAATATCCAGGATCAAAACTTTGTTGAAAACTAGCATAATCATCAACCAACTATAAATTAAAACAAGGGTCCGGCTGAAAAAGAGGTCCACCAACGGTTCTTTCCTATTTTCCCATTCATAAAAGCTCATGTTAGGACCAACCCTAACTCTAAACCCTACTACCCTTAGCAACCCAAAGACCAACCCTTAGATTACTACTAAGAATAGTGCATTAAGATTTGTGGAAAACATCACCGTAACAATCTTGCAGTAACACGAAGGTTATTTAACAAAATCAGTTTGAGAACCTTGATTAGCAAAAAACCACTTAACGAGGCAGCCTAGGTTAATCAAGTGACACTTGGTTTCTAGAAAAGTTCGGCTTTTTAAAGCACTTTGGACTTTAAAAGAATATCATTTTAAATTGGATTAGGTCGCGATCCTAATTTGACCCAACTTAAGTAAAATCAATTGAAAAGTAGTTCTCAAACACCTTTGAATTAATTTATAAGTAGCAAAAACTGGAATTATTTTAAGAGTATTAAACTTGAAGTAAAAGTGTAAACCCATAGACAGATTTAATTTTAAGCAACAAGATTCAATACTTCTTCCAAAAATTCTGGTTTCA